CTATAGTACCTACCTTTTATGCCAGCTGCGATTTTTATAATAATGAGTTTAATGTCACATCAAGCATTTTTTGAACATTATTCACAATAAATATTATTTGGTTTATTATCTGATATTATAAATAATTGTACATATTATAGCAATTTATTTTCGTGCATTAAAAGCTTCTATTATCCTTATTTTAATGTTTCTAATAAAATACGATTCTTTAGGTACATATTGCAAATCACCCCAAATAAAACGCTGTTTAATCAAGTGGCACATGAAAATGTTTAAATTGTTTATAAGTGGTACGCGGATATAGGACATCATAGCCCATAGGTACGCATATTATTATATTACATGTGACTTGTAGTATTATATAATACTAATATATTGCCAGGAGTCAATAGGTTGGTGTATCTATGCGGGGAAGTGATGGGACTTAAAGAGTGAGAATATATTATTCCTCAGAATCATTGTTGTCTATTTTGTTCAAGTAAATGTAATTTTACCTACGTTTTATCATATTGAACTTGACTTGGCGAATGACAAATAATATATGATAACACCTACAAATATTATCAGTTATCACTTTTGTAATAATTATTTATCATAATCGTGTTTCACATCAGAGCACAATAAAATTTTTGTAATTTTATATTCTGAGCAGAGCGAGTTAGTTAGTACTTTTGAGAGCTAAAAATTGTACATTTTTATGTACCACTTGATTCAATAACGTTTTTTTGCGTTATTTTGCATATGAATATATGATGATGTATAGAATTGTATTTTATCAGAAACTTAAAATTGTTGCGATGATATATTAGCTTTTAATGGAAAAAAAATTTTGATAATTTGTACCCACAATTATTATTATAATAAGAAAATAAAATTTTCTAGTTCCATCACTAATCTCAAAATGTATTTGTAGCTTGATGGTATTCTCGGTGGTATTTATGCAAGAATTTTTTAACTATACAAATAATTTGTAAATTTTCGGGACTTTAACGAAATTCATCAGACCTCTAACTTAAATGTTCATAAAATATTATTGGTGATTTACGCTAAACTTTTTTTTAAATGCCTTCAATTTACTCATGAGAAACAGTAAGTACCTATACATTTGTTATGTTTTTAAGCTTTTCAACAAAACAACATTTTCTTAATCGATATTTATAGAAATAAGTGCGTGTTGCAACAGTAAGCGCGGATGAAGTGAAACTTCTTTATTAGAGGGTATATGAAAAAAAAGGTTATCGCCCATCGAATATTATGTTTGTACTGAAAAAATAAAAAAAATAATTTTCAATTGAAATTAATTTATTATTATTATACTAAGATAAGACAAATGGATTATTATTTATTACCGTATAGACTATAAAAACCTTATAATTTCGAAGAATTCACGCCTGTAATAACGCTTTTTGGTCGCAATACGGCTGAACCCATGAATCCGACTTAAGCAACCACTTCTATAAAGAAATTTCACTTCAAAAACTAAAAAAATATTGAAAATATCAAATGAATATAAATAGCTAGAATTTGAAAGTTATATACCATGCATAGAAAATTCAAGAACTTATAAACATGCGATGAAAGTTTCACGTGTCGAAAATTATTCGTTTTTTAAATACAATAAAAAATAAGAAAATCGTTATTTTTATGCTTGAATATACAATTTTGTCAAATTTTAATATTAGACGATCATAAAATGTATCAATGGAAATATAGTAAATTTTATTTTTTAAATTCAGTAATAACTGTTATATGAAATAACTATCTTGTATTACATTTTCAAATCTCAGGCATAAAAATGTTTTGAATATTATTTAATTTAAAAAAAAATGAAAATTTTTGCAATTTTCACCTAACGCCGTTTTGCAATTTGCAATGGGTGTTCCCCACAAATAACAGATTCTATAATTGCTATAAATTGATAGAATGGGCTCATAAAACCATTTTCTTATTTTGTAGAAATTTAAAAATATTGTTTTTGGGTACTTAAATCTTTTAAAGTATAATATTAAATTGTATACACACAATGTCATTTTTTGATTTTAAAATGCAATTTTATCTGCAAAAATAAATTCAATTTAATTTAGTAATAAATACTTACCAATGCCTTAAAGTAAAATAAATTACTTAAATCAGAAATCACAATAATATCATTAAATAATAAATATATACTTGGTAATATTATATAGGCTGATAGACTATATTGTATAGCCTGTATAGCTTACTATTAATAATAACTAAATATAATTATATAATATAATATAATATAATATAACATAATATAATATATATAATACTATATATAACTGTTTATATAGGTATATGGGACCCTGTTTTTGTTGATACACATACAACGAAAATAACTCGTATAATCGTCGTAGATAATATACAACTGTAGAGACTGCAATGACACTCTATAGCTGCCTATACTGTACAGCAGAACTTTATCCACTTGTTTTTTAATTTGTAAGTTAACAACTTATGAGTTTGAGGAACCTTATATTAAATTTTCAAGCATTTGCTCTGCGAAAAAATGTTTACTGAAATTTATAAAAAAAAAATAAATATAATCTAACTTTTTGATAACCTTGTATACCTAATATATTATGTAAATTAAAATTTTAACAAATATTAGTGTACTTTTTTAGTTTTCCTGCAATTATTTTAAAAAGTACCTACTGAAAATTGTCAATGTGATTTACCAAAAGTACCATCCATACCTATCCAATTTCTTGTGCTGCAGTTTTGTTATATTCCGGACCGGGCGTATGAAAAATGTATAGCGATTAGGGTTTGTTATCTTGCCGCCATCCATAATAAATATATCAGAAAAACGTACGAAAAAAAAAAATAGATAATAATAACAAATATGGTAAATAAGCGATAATAATTAATTTTCTAATATGCATAATAAAAGTATGAAAGTATATATAAGTGATAATAATTCATTTTTTAATTTATAAATATTATAAATCTGTAAACCGAATTACGACGAACAAAAACGAACAAAACGTACTATAAGACCGATGGTGGTTATTACTTATTATAATACGTTTGATGTTGAAACGGTTTGATCATTGCAGGTTTTTAAATAACCAATATTATGTGATAAACACCTATGGTACCTTTATAGTAATGGCACATTTTTTTCCGAGATCAGTCGAATTACTCGAATTGCGATGTAGGTATTATTACTATGGTGGATGGCGGAAATTAATCTGAATGGCTTGTCCGTATACTACAGCTTTCACACGCCATGGCGGGAATACCTACAAGGCTACTATTCTAACCAATACCCATTCGCTCAGAATATAAAAATGTAATGCGGGTCCTTAGTTTGTCCTGCAGCGTTCGCCAATCATCCTTGTATTGCCACCGACCTAGTGGTTTATCGTGTATCGTAGATAATATTATATTCTACCACCATCCGCACTGGATAACTGTATAAAATACGATGTTATTAAAACCGGAATTTGTCGTACCATCACGGAAGTAGCAGCTGCCAATTGCCATAATATAGTCAGCTAGTCAGTACGTCGGTATTTCATAGTGTGGCGCAGACCACGATGAGAAAGGAATGGACTGCTTTTGAAGGTCTTTGATGTGTGCATACATATTACAAAGGCCACAGGGCACAGGGTGAGCCTTTCAACAATGATGTAGATCTTAGATAAATGTTGAATGTAAATCGCGTGCTTTCAACCTCAGAGATCATATTATCCGTAAATCGTATATGATTACCTATAGGCTATAGTAATAATGACTATATAAAGGATTCGTCGGGATCGATTGGTTTTTAGATATTTACAATTTTCACGCTATAGGTTTTGAATAGGTATCGAATTTTGTTCTGTTTGGAATTTCTAGAATTCCTAGATACCTTTCGATGCGAACGGACGTCTCATTATTGGCATTATATAGCCCCATATGGCCATATGGGTATACTCTCGTCTCCAATTAATTTCGTCACACCTCATCGTCGACGTCCGATAAGCCGCATAAATATGCGACCGCCGTTGCAGTCGGAAGTCAATGATTTATAGGGTTTACACATCTAGCCAATTACTGTAATATATATACCTACGACAATGCTGAAAAATTACAGTTGTAAATTGTGACTTGTACGACGCATTACACACAGCCAGTGTCTAAAGCACACGCGTACGCTCACACAGGCCCATTCGGCAGAGCAACTTATAGAGTTATAACAATAGTAGTTACCTGTTGCGCACCTTAGATCATATTAATGTACTAAATTGTCGAGACTGGAACCTTACCGAAAAGAACCGGTTTCGGAAAAATCGAAACCCTTTAAATATCGGGAACTGGAACCTCGCTGGAATCCTTATTTAAATAAATTTAAGACTGGAATTTTGCAGGAACCGATGCTTTTACTTTTATGGAAATGTTTTTTAAGATTAATTTTGGTTTCTTACTTGAAACGGGGTCGTATATTGTGACAGCGGTGAGTACATATTTTACTTGTCTGGTCCTGACAAATGTTAAGATAATTGGTTGAAAATTGGTATTGACACGGCATAATTGACGTCAATTTTGAATTTACTGACAATGCCAATTACCAATATTTTATTGTATTTAAAAAAAATGGAAATGGAACCAGATTTTTTTGCATAAATATTAAACCAAAACAGGAGACGAAATATTCATTTTTTAAGAACCGAAACGGAAATTTTAGTTTTTCTAACAACCGAACCGCGGGACCGTGAAAATCATCAAGATTTCATTCCCATTTCCCTCGAGCTCTGTAGTAGTGGAAAATAATATAAGTTATACGCTGAAACTCACCCGCCGCAGTGTCGCACCCACACGACGATGTCGGCGGCGGGTTCTCTGGTGGCGCGTCGGGCGTAGCGATCCGCGAGACAAGACGCGGGCCGTGGCGGCGGCGGCGTGCCCTATACCCATAATCTTGTTATCGATCGTTTATCGTTGCGCGCACGAATAAATACATTTTGTTTTTGGCGGCAAATATCAGCGGCCAATGAAATGGGACGAACGGGGTACGATGATCGGCGCAAGTTCCGGCGGGCGATCAAGCTGATGTTATCCAGTTCATTGATTAAGCGCACTTGGTCAATGCGCTTCAGTTCGTCCATCGGCGGCCGTGGACCGCGGTTGCCATCGCACCTTGTTTATTGTTATTATGGTTGCGAGCTTTTGTTGTGACCGACACCGCTCCTAGCAACGGGCGAGAAGCCGTAGCCATAGTCACCGCGAACGGCTTTTACCGTCAACACTCGACCACAATTATTCAGGTGAACGATTAGCACGAACAAAAAATGCATTCGTCTTCGATTGTTCCGTTGCGTACACACGACGTTTACGACCAACGAAATGAGACGAAAGTGATGGGAAAAAGTTTTTATTGTTTACAACTACATAGTATAAACAAAAATATTAAAATACGCTAGGTAAGTATAAAGTGGTCAATGCACCTATATAGTCATTGATACATTTTGTATTTTTAATTTCTACATAATTCGTAATTACTTAAAAATGATAAATTTAGTAGTACCTATTTAAAATCATTATCATTCGACTTCAAAAACTTAATTTAAATAAATGTCTAGGTTTTTTTTTCTGTGTTTATTACTTTTTTATTTTACAACTTAGTTTTGTTAGTTAGGATATTTTAAACAAAAATATTTAATTTTTAATATTCAAGTTAATGTTCTAAATAAGTTGGTACAATACATACCAAAGTATGTAAAAATACATTTTCACTAAAGCTATTAATTATTTTTATTCCCCGATTAAAAATGTTTAAAAATAAAATAAAATCATCAGAACTTTTAACACAGATTAAATCCAATTATTTTTATATTTTATTTATTTATTTATTTTTATTTTTTTTTTGTTTTAATAAATCATTTTTTTGATATGAATATGTTTTTTGACTGGAGCCTGGAGTCTATCTAATTTATAAAATACTTTTTTATTACACAACTACATAATTTGTTGACATGATGAACCCCTAAATAATGTAGGCATAATCATAATTTAAATTTTGTTACACTCGGTGTTATCAGTTGCTATGGTAACATAATTTGTGTTTATGATAAACATGTCATGTCAATAATATATAATTATTTCTTAGCAATTCAAATGTCATGTTCATGATCCAATATCTTTCACATGGAGGGAAATTCTTTATAATTTTTTGAGTGATCTATATTTTCTTTCTGATGTTTTTAAGTAAAATATATTTTACTATAGCTTTATAAAATTACATTTTTCAATTATTTTTTTCATAAATCATATATTTATTTATATCTGTTATTCTAATGAATTTGTAAAACAAATTTGATCTTATCAATTTAAATTTGGTACCTATAATATCTATTTGTGGTTTTCTGCTACATTATATTGGAAACTGTAATATTATTATAGGACCGAAATTATTATTGTAATGTTTAATAAATATTAATATAATTACTTTTTGTTATATTGTATTTATTTTTATTTTTAACTGCAAGTTCAAATTATATTAATTTTAAATTATAGTTAAATTTTAATTTATTTTAAGAAAATTATGAAATTTATTGATATAGATAATTCCATGGCAACTTCTGTGAAGGGTGAAATCAAGTTAGAAGGGTCAGCAGATACTGGCTCCCAAATTAATGCTATTAACAATGTAACAGCTGGTGGATTTGGTCAAATTCTTGTTGTGCAACAAACTTCTGTGGTGGGTACATACATTTACTCAGTAGGTACTTCATTAAATTAAATATTTAAATTGTTATGTTTTCAGAACATCAATAGTAAAAAACGACTTGGAAATGCTATAATGTGTGGAACTAGTCCAGTTAATGATGATAAATCTTATAAATCAATAGATGATGATAAACTTCACCTAGATCATAGAGACAGGAGTTTATCTACAGTTGCTGTTAATAATGGCCATTCTATTGTTACGGAAATAGGTAAGTTAAAAAAATATCCATTATTTAATGAACACGTTAATTAACCGGTACACATAAAAATACTTATTATATTATCGATATGCCAAAAATATTTTTCCATATCATTCCGAATTTATACATGCTATTGAAATTGAAAAAATATTTTAAAAAAATGTGTATTACATCAAAAAAATTGTAAAGATTTCCCAAAAGGCTTCTCATACTGGTGCAGATGTTTTCACTGAACTTAACATTTGTTTGTGTTAAGACTTATGCTAAATATTTATTAGTATAATATATTGAATGTAAAGTTTTTGTGGTGCTTTTGTTTATTTTAGCTTGATTTCTTACAATTATTCTGTATAACATGTATAACACTTTTATATTATATAATAGCTCAAACATCTATTTATTTGTTGTTGTTTTTTAGTTCCCAAAGTAGAGCCTGTTGATTTTTATGATGATGTTGGTCATTCTAATTATGTACAGTGTGTTGAAGGAATTGGCGAACAAGCTATTTTCACTAATGGAGATATGTAAATGTTTTACTATAAATTTTAATATAAGTTACATAAATTCTATATTTGTTTGTATAAATATATTCATTTAATTTTCAGAGCGTACTCAGTTCAAACTGTGGGTGAAAGTGAAACAATGCATCAAACTGATCAAACACATTATCACAACCCTAGCACAAATTCTTATTCCCAAGTAACTAATATTTATACAAATCCAGATTTATGTTTATTATGACATTTCCATGATTTTGACTTAAAGAACTATCCAAAAAGTCCTCATCAATTATATTTCTACATTTGTAATATAATATATTATATAGAAGAATAAACTGTCTTTCTCTTTTACATTATGCAAAAGGTCTATAAAATAAATGGCTTTCAGGATCATTCTGTGTTTCATTTTAATTTCAATACTATAATGAACTAATAATACATTGAAATAAAAATATGTTCAAAATGTTAATGGTTAAGTTAGGTCTAAACACTTCAAGCCGACCAATATGTGCACAAAATATAGGCAATGAAACCTATATTATACAACATAATGTTGACAATTTTAACAACTCAAATTCCTCTACATCTTATAACAGTTATGGATTATGATAATAATGTACCTCAATGTATATTGTTTTATACATTACTTTAACTGTTATAAACTGCTTATAAAATAAAATAATTAGGTATCAATACTTTATTTTTAGAATGTGTCATGTCATACAGTTAACGCTACTGAGTCTAGTGTAACAAACATAGATCAGTTGAATGGTACCAAAGAGTCAAATAGAGGAATGCAAAACTCCAGTATTATGCAAGCAAATAAAATTTCTCCTGCAACTGTAAGCAGTTGATATTTTATATGGAATAATAAAAAACTGAATGGTATATTATTATGAAGGTCGACTGGCTGATGGAAAATTATGAAAAGGCTGAAGGAGTGTCGTTACTTCGATCAACAATATATGACAATTATTTAACACATTGCTCAGAAACTAAATTTGATCCTTTAAATGCGCCATCATTTGGTAAACTTATCCGATCTGTGTTTACAGGACTACAAACAAGACGTCTAGGAACTCGGTATGGTTATATTTTTTGCTACAATTTATAATTTACTTAACTAACAGTTTTTTTTGTTTTTTAGAGGAAATTCTAAATACCATTATTATGGAATTAGAATTAAACCTAATTCATTATTAAATGACTTCAAAGAAGAAGAAGAAGAAGAAGAAATTCTACCAGTTGAAACAACAATTCGAAGTGGTAGTAAAAAAAAAATTAAACTCATTAAAACCGAAGAGCAAAATTGCAATCAGTATAAAACCAATAGTTCAGATTTTGGTAATAGTTCTCAAAATAGTATCTCATCTTCTTCTCAAACACAAGATCAAGAATATTTAGGTGATGGTACTAATGCTGTACCACAATTTCCTGATATTAAATTGGATGAAATACAATTGGATGATGATTGTACTCTAGAAGATGTAGATACATTCAAAAACTTGTACCGCGAACATTGTGAAGTACTTCATTGCTTTTAATTTGAAACTTATTTATTCATGTCTAAACAACACTGCTTTTGTAGGCATTTTTAAGTGCCATATTGAACTTAGAATTTGGCACTGTCGAGTCACTTTGGCGTCAATTTTGGTGTAGTCAAGATGATACAATTGATAAATATGAAGGAGAACAATATTTATCTAAAGAAAAATTATATTCATTATCTAAGTGCAAAGCATTGCAGCTGTTTGTTAAAACTGTTGATTTTCTATTTTACCAAAACTTGGTAAAAGTTTTAATTCCAGATGTTCTTCGACCTGTTCCTAGTACGTATATTTTATGTTTTTATTTAAACATAACTTTTAATAAATTATGTATAGGAACATTAACACAAGAAATTAAAGATTTTTCCAAAAGCTTGGAGTCATGGCTTATATCTGCAATGCAAGGGTGTCCACAAGAAATGATCTCAATAAAAGTAATTATTTTTGTAAAGCGTTTTCATTTAAATACTTATGGTAATTGTTATTATAATTTCTAATTTTAGGCGACTGCTGTTAGAGCCTTTGCACAAACATTACGCAGATACACTACTGCAAGAGCTGTGCTTCAAAATTATACCCAAATAAATCAAATGCTTACTGATTTGAATCGTTTGGACTTCCGTAATGTACAAGAACAAGTAAGATATTTTGAAATTTTTGTATTTCAGATTTCTTAATATATTAAAAAGAAATTGATTTATTGTAAAAATGGCTTCTTTGATATGCCATTGTGACTTAATTGTTGGTTAAAACTTTCTGTTTTTTCATAGAATATTTAAATGGTAATAAGAATTTTTTTTTTTAGGTTCAACTTGTAAATAATTTGGGAAGTAAAAATGACCCAGTTCATACCAAGAAGAGAGTTAAGAGTAAAATAAATAAGGGCTCTGAAATGCTTTTAGATTTTAATGAACCCCCCCAAAAAACCAAAACTTACAACTGTTAGTATTTTACCAATTTGTATAGATAATGTGAATTGATTATTTTTAATTTTTAGGTTTGGCTGCTACTTCCACGAATTCCGAACGTTTTAATGTTTTGTAAGTATATAATTATAAAACAAAGTTCTAAGGGTTTTAAATTATAATTGAATTATCAAATGATTGTAAGTAAAACAACAAAACTTGTATACTGTATAGTTTAACAGATTATTTTATTATATAGATTACCTATATATTAGGTGCATTGGCCTATGATATTATTGGACGAGGGGTGATATTTTGTATTATGAACATGGAATATATTATTTAATACAATATCATTAATGTATCATGGAAAATATTTCTTTACATTGTACATAAATAAAGAACTTTTTACTTCAATAACAAAATTACAAAAAGTAAAAAAAATCAAAATATATTTACTATTCATTATTTAACAGTCAATATCAATCAATAAAAATAATTTCAATGTATAGTACATAGACCTATAGTCTTGGTATAGATATAGATGTTTAAAATGAGTGGGATTACTAAAAAAATGTCAGCACCGGTACTTCATGTTGTCAGCCGATGGGATTAAAAATTATCTAATTACAAATCGAAATATCTGCAAATCAATGTATCTATTGTATAAGGTCTACAAAAATTAAAAAGCATGGTCAAAATTGTAAGCTATTGCACAATTTTTATAGTTGTTTAACATTATAATCATATGATAATTAAATTTCTTTTTGAAATTTGGAGCGGGGTCCCATTGTTTTGCATATAATATATGCCTTCTATCTATTTATATATTGATTAATGTATATTTAGATGAGTCTTTTAAACTTATAAACTACTTAACCAATTTTCACCAAGTTTACACACATTTCTTTGAGACTGTTAATGTTCTTAGTTTTTTTTTTCAACTGCTATATGTTGCTAAGAGCTGGCTCACTCTAGAATTTCATTCTGGCTCACAAAAATTGAACATTTTTTTCTTTATATATAATATGGTTGTCAATAGTTTTTTTTTTTTGAGGTACACTAAAACCAAGATACACCATTTTATGTTTGTACATTTTTCCTGGGCAAAGTCTAAATATACAATTTGTTTTTCCTGTATTTTTGTGGTTTTAACATCTATAAATATTATTTTACTTAATTATTTAATGCATAAACTGCCTGTATGTTGTAGATTAAAAAGTCCAAAAGAATCCAAGGAAAATAAATCTAAGGTACTTACTGTTTTATTTATTTGACTCATTAGAAATATTTGTATTTGCTTATTGCTGATTGTTAGACTGAAATCTGTTGTGATTTCTGTAGAGAAAATGAACCTGCTGACATGCTTAAACAATTTGTTTTAGATGGCAATAAAAGTAAAAAATGAGTCGTCAAAAGATAAGTCTAGACAAGAAAATCTTAAAATGACGGAATACTTGAAAAAAGACATATCTGAAGATTATACAAAAGAGATATACAATGGTAAAATGTGCTTTTTACTGGTGTCTTTTTCTGAAATAAATGTTTTAATTTCATTCGGCTATAAATTTGCACAAATGCCATAAAATATTAACGATTTGTGCACTTTTTATAATATTTTCTTTGAGTTTCTATATTCAATTATTCTATTTTCACTCCACAAATTATATTTGAATGCAAAGGTTTTTAAAAAAAATTTCAAAGTAAATAACATTTACAGTAAGTTCTTGTTCGACCTATGTGTAACCATGGGTTATCAAATTGAGAGGATATGTTGGATTATTGAGGTGGCTGGAGCTTGATGTGTCTTAAGGAGTTATATTTAGGCATTTTATTTAGCTATTATATTTAAGCTGTTTTATTGTGTGAGAAGTAAATGAATGTTAATGTATGTAATTTGTAAAATTAGTTATTGAGTACTGGGCACTGACTGCTTACCGCCCGAGTATAAATTTCTACATTCACAGGCTCATGTCAATGATACAGATTTTATCATAAATACACCATGCTATTCAAATGACAAAATGCCAAAAAATTAGACAATATTGAAAGACTTGGATTCGATGGATTTTAATTTTAAAAATGGATATTAATTAGTCATTGTGTTATTAATTATATAAATGGCATTTAAGGAAGATGTAGAAAGACTGGTTGATGATGCCTAAAGATGTTTAATCTAAAATATTACATTTAATTTTCTATTACAAAAAATTTTACTATGCTATATTTAAATATTGCATTTTATATAATTCTTATTTAAATTATATAGATACTGCTACAATGAACTCTCCTTTTAATTCAAGAATTTCAGTAATCCACGAAGAGTACCCTAAATTGTAAGTATTAATATTGAAAAAATGATCTCATTATTTTTGTCTGAAAATTAATGTAAATATAAACGAAATGTACATTTAGTGTGTTATCTGTATGACAAACAAAATTGTATGTGTTTTAAAATTAATAATTTCGTTCATTTGTAGATTTCATAAGTTATCAACAAATAAAATGAATGAACAGAAAAAAGTTATTAAGGTTTGTTTTTGGTTTTTAATATTTTATTATAATTTAAAACATTCAATTTGACTATTAAACATTAAAATGTACCTTTTAAAACTTTAAATTACTTTCTAAAATATATTTTTTTAATAAATATTTTATAGGTTATGACTCGAGAGGAAATTATGTCACAAGAAAAACCAAATAAACATAAACAACAGACAACTTATAAAGACTATTCGAAAAACAATTTCCCTCGATCATTAAACATAGATGATAATCATACATATGATAATAATGATCGTGTTGGCCATGAAGATGAATATAATTTTGAGTTTTTTGCTGCTCAGGGTGATTACAGTTTGGAATATCCCTCTATGACTGACACAGGTCAGTTTTCTTGTCGATTTTGTGATAAAGAATTTACCAACGCTAATAGTTTATCGAGACACGAAAATGTTCACACTGGAAAAACTCCTCTTCAGTGTGATGTTTGCTTTAAAACATTTATAAGCAAATCTATATTGTGTATACATAAAAGATCACATACCGGGGAGAAACCATACGCGTGCATTATTTGTGGACGATCATTTACCCAAAAATCACATTTGGTCTTACATTATAGAACACACACAGGAGAAAAACCGTATGAGTGTGGTCTGTGTGATAAAAAATTCTCATCAACCAGTGGTCGAGCAGAACATACACGTAGACGTCACCCATTTGTTTGACTGCTGTTCTAGTTAATAATGTCTAAGAGTATTTGCTTCTCCTAATGAAAACATAATCTAAATTTGTAGGGAATCTACAAATAAGCAATTTTATTTAAGGTACTTCATAATTAAAACTAAAATGGATATTTTTTTTTATAGTTGTATTATTGTTAAATGTTAAAACGTATCTTTCGTTAGGTAACAATTTTTTTTTTAAATTATAAATTTATTGTTTTCTTGGAAATTGTTGTTTATTAAAAAATAAAAGAAACAAAATATTAAAGAAGATTATGTTCCCAACCAAGGCTCGGAAGTTATAGAATCAAAAAAATACTTGTTTAGCGCTTGAATACATAAAAATATGCACTATCATTTGGTAAATATGCAAACAGAAATTGTATATAACGTTTTCATTTTTATCCTTTAAAATATCTTTTTTTTATCATAACTTGTGTAGTCTAACAATTATATAATATTTTATATGGTTGATATAAGGTGATCATTGCTTAAGAATTAGGCACTGTTTGTTCTTTATTAAATAAGATAATTCACTTCAATACACGAGTGTCTCCGATAAATTTCCAATAATTCAAATTCTAATTTTAGTTATTATCGATGATTAAATATAAAATAAATTCAGCAAAATGTTTTTGATTCCATTAGTATGTGAGGATGCAAAGAGAAATAGCAATTAATAATTCAAAATAAGCAAAATAGAGCTAAGAACCATAAGCATGCAAAAATATTATAAACTACTCCAGGGGAGGTGTAAAAAAAGTATGCATTTGCTAGAATTGTCCGTACCTTGTTCGTTACCCATAAATAAAGACCATCAGGCAGCTCGCTTAGTCGATTTGGATTAAGAACTCAATAAAGTAGTAGTGCTATTGCTACCTTGTCGTAATTAGCGTGACATCTGCAAAAGATCATTTGAATTTCTCTGACCAAGACAAACAACAAACTAAATAGGTACAGTACCTATAACTGTAGTAACTAGTAACATAGGTGTTCTGTCATCATCCGTACTAGAAAATGTTTAATAATTATTATCATTGAATACATTTTCTTCTTGAGAATGCTTTCGTAAGCAGATAATCGATTTGACTGAAATTATAAACTAATTGTACATAGTTTAAATTGTATATAGTATAATTTTACGTGTCCTATTTTAAACACTTTCTACTATACAGATACTTGTCAATTCAAATTAAGTATTACAAGTATAATAATTATGAACTAAATTATTATTAAAAACGTACAAATTTAAAATATTATTTTACAGCTAAGAAACTTATAAGTATTTAATAAGCATTTAAGATATTTAAAGAGACATTTGTCTATTACCAACTTGGGATAAAAAGAGAGTAACCATGGACCCCAGCTCACAACTAGATATCAATCAATAGTGGGTTTTTGGCGGTTTTTGGCTAATATATAGATAATGAATACCTATATTATTATTATTTGGCCCCAGGCTCAAAATTATTTTATCCCCGGCTTTTCTGTTACCCATATTATTATATTTATCTATTACTGAATTTAAATCTACCTTTGATTCCATTTCTTGTTCTGTAAAAAGCAGTAATAATGAATCCAAATGTTATTTACCCATTATAATGTATTTGTTTTTTACTGTGGTTAATTTTGAAAAAAACACATACAGCTCTTTACAAGCATGATTTTTGAAGTTGTGTTCATGATATGTTGTTAAAGTGTAATGTGTATTATTGCAATAGCCAATAAGGTAATATATTTTTTAACTTATAATGACAAAAAAATCATGCTGTCTACCTAAATATATCTAAGTGGATATTTGAATTATCAAGAAGCTTCTTCTTGAGTATAATTACCTTAGAACTGGTTTTGAAATAGTGTAACATAGTTAGTAATTTACTTTAATTATAATTGATGGAATTACACTTTTAAATTTGTATACATGCATATTTTGTTAAAGTTATTATAAATAAAAAACGTTTCCATTTAACAAATTGTTTTTTAAATATCTTTGTGTTGAATTTTTGTTTTAAAGTGGAATTTATAAATTATTAGAGAGCTTAAAAAATAGAAAAACAAATGATCGATAAGGTTTAGCCTAACATTAGGCCATTAAGGTATATTTTACTTCAATAAATATTTGTAATATCACATGGGTTCAATTATTTTAGATACTTATTATTTATAAATTGATAAATAATTCTTTTTCTAAGATTTAATAAATTACCTATTGAAAAATAAATTTTATCACGTTCAGTACCAAAAGCAAATATTTTTCTAAACATTTTTACAGTAATACAGTATACATAATAAATAGACTACATTATAATATACACTGGTACAGTGGTACATTACGTACCTATGCTGATTGTTTTATTAGATTATACTTGATTACAATTTTAAATCAATATTGATGAATTGTATAACCAGCTGTGTATAAATGAAATGTGCGAAATAATGAGAATTGATTGTTTACATTTACCGGTCACCAACAAAAGGGTCACTTTGAAATTTGTAGTGAAAATTTCAATCATATTTTATGTCTTATACTCTTATGTGACCGTTAACAGGGGGTGGGTGATCAGATTGAATTTAGCCTTACCTGATAGCCTTAGTCTGCCTTACCTATCAGAGCCCAGATGTCTGCTCACGCCTATGATTATAGTTAGAGCAAGGACTTTCATGCATTTACATGTTTTTTCAGGTTTAGTTAAACGTATGCAGAGTAAGTAAACAATACCTTTCACAACGTTTGTGACCAAAAGCTAAAAGTTTTTAGTGCATATTTGGACATTTTTTGGTTTAAGGGGCATAATTTTGATTGAAAGAGCATATTTTAAGCTTTTAGTGCATATTTTGATGGTTTATCGAAAATCGCGGAGCACTTTGGTGAATATTTTCCATAAATCAAGATCAACAATTTGTTATAAACTTATAAAGACGATAGAGATAAATTTTATAGTATCAAGTAACTATCTATAGTCTGCAGTGGGTGGATTAGATTAGTTCTAGTAGATTTTCCACGTGTGTGTAAGTTCCGCGAGTTTAATTTGCATATTATAACGTTCGTGAGTAATACGCCAAAAGAAAAATTCGACAAAAGCTTATTGTTTGTGTAATTTTGTAATCGAGTTTGGTGAATCTGTATTTTCAACGGATAATAATTAAGAAGAATGGGATCTGACATTCAAAAACAATTCAAATAAATGTACTTATAGTGAATAATAAAAAAATTAATTTTTTTAAGGGCATATTTAACCGCATATTTTTAATTTTTTGATGCATAATAAGTGCATGTTTTTAAATGCATATTTGATGATTTTTTAGTGCATGAAAGTCCTTGCTCTAATTATTATAATATATTGGTTCATATCTTTCATCGTGATCGTAATGGTTATGTGCTTTTAAAGTTTTAGATAGGCGAGAATATCACATAATATTTGAGTATAACATTTTTTCACGAATGGAGTGAGTAACTCGGTCAGTTATAAGCACAATAAGCACATAGACGTATATATATGTATATGTTTGTATATGACTATGGTTAAGCCTTAAGCAGCTGTTCCTGCGAGCGATTCCAATTTTAAATTGCTACGAGATATTGAGATGTCGCTTAATAGGTACCTAATTAAAGTGTTAGTCCGTGGCCGGTCAACCGTTAAATATTTGTCCATTAAACTTGAACGTGTCCGACACCGATCCTGGCAACGGGAGAGAAGCCGTCGGTCACCGTGAAGGCGAGAACTCCTTTTTCCGTCGACACTCAACAATTCAGGTGAACATAAACGAAAAATGCATTTATGTTTAATTATTCCGACGTTTACGACAAACTAGACTAAACTAAAGAAGAAAAAAAAAATGTTTTTATAGCTTAGAACTTGATTTAATATAGGTAGTTAATAGTTATAAAGACAAAATTATTATAATAATATACTAATTAATTTTAGCTAAAACGTAACAGGTACCTAGTAATTATATCATGGTTATTATCTATGAATAGTGTAGTCATTATTACATCAAATTGTTAATAATATATGTGGATACATAATAAGTTAGGTATTAATTAAAATTACAAAATATCCTTTTCAAATTATTAATGTTCAACTTTAAAAACTTAATTTGTTTGAATGAATGTCTTAAATTTTAGATTTTGAGTTATGATAGGTAGTTTCTTTTGTGTAGGTATGTCGTATGTGTATGTACACTTTAAGTACCTAGGTAGTCGAAATAATTCAATTTCAACTTCGGTATATTTTCTGACGGAAAAGTGAATCTAATGCACCATTCGAAGGTCAAAATTAGAAATGTACAAGAGGTTTAAAGTGCCGAAATAAACAAAAAAAATCGGGAACTTCTATGCAATATCAGTTTTTGTCAATAAATCGATGTTGTTTGTTGGTATTGGCGTATTGCTCAAAGACGAATCACCGTATCTACTTGATATTTTCATCAAACATTCGTCACATTTTCTGTTATCAAATTTAAAAAGTAATTTGCCACCTTTTTTGAGTTATTTATAGCTATAACTCATAAGAAATGTTTGATTTTATTTTTGTTTTCGACGTTTTCGTTAAATTATTGCTTTAAAATATATTTACTCGTAATTACAGTGACGTGGATATCATATACTCATGCAGTCATGCTCATAATAAAGTTATGATGTAAATAAAATGTGGCCGTCTGGCCACATTTTTAAAAAAAGAGGTCGGGTCATGGCCCCACGTTAACATGGACTTCGGCGCCACAAATATAATATAATATAGTATATCTTAATTTGTGGTTAATATACTACCAAGAATACCTAAATTAATCCTCGGAAATATCTTTCCTTCATCGTACCACAGATTATATAAATCAATTAACAGTTTGATAAAATCTGTGATTGTACCATTCTTTTGAAACATCTTTCCCTACAAGAAATCTAGTCGGAATAATTATTTTCCTGAAAAATACGGTCCCATGTGAAAATTTTCCTCATTTATATATTGTGCTCCTGTCCGTGGTTCCAACCTCACACTGTCTAGGTCCATGGTTCCAACAAGCTTGTATTGATAAGCGCGCGTAATTGATAACGAAGGGATATAAACAAAATGTAATCGTCGTGCAGGCTGCAGCAGTGCAGCAGCAGCAGCAGCTGTGGTCATTGTGTACGGTTTATCATCATATAATGGCGTAGTAGCGCGGTACACAACCAGGGGTTGACTGATCCCTGTGGTCGGGGGGCGGGAGGGCTCTATCGCTTTAATCATAGAAGAGAGCTTTAAATCTTTAATCTCTTTCCTATGACTATCGGGTATCGGCGAGATGTCTGGGTATCGCTAAGATCTAGTCGTTGTCTGTACGCAATATAACATAATATTTTACCGTAGGTATTTACCTATCGAGTTCTCCGTGTTGTGACTGGTTTTTGTGTTTCGGTACCTGATCACGGTACTTTGCATAAAGTCTCAATTCCCCGTGATGTGATGCTTGTAACCCGCCGTTAGCATCATTCACCAATGCGATTGTCGTTTTTTAAACCGTTTTCAAAACGTATCGAAATGTTGATGTAAATTATTGCTCATTCGACAGCCATGAAGAACTGTTTTATTTTGTTCATAGCAATACTAGGTCATCAGTCAGGCAAGTTTAATAAATAATATTATCGATAAATACTATTCACTTAAATATTCACTAAACTTACATTCGTTACTACAGGTAATGTCAAGACCGAGTGCATAGACAACAACGGCCGAACTGTTCAGGAGGGAAAGACGTACATACCCGGCCCGGATATCTGCACCCGGTGTGTGTGTGACAATTCTGTAGCTAAATGGTGTCACCCTGTGCTTTGTACAGCTCCACAGGTACTTTTTATTTTTTTAATTGTTAGAACCTATACAAATATTGTTTTTTTGAAATGGAGACTAAAACTACTATACCAGATTATTATTTATTGTGTGTTATAACTTATAATTGGTTAATTGTCTCAGAAATAATTAAAACAATTTTATTTAATTATAGGATTGCAAGTCTTATACAACTGTTGGAAATATATGCTGTGAATTCAATTGTTTAGACGAAACTCTCAAAGGCGATAATATTAATGCCAGATCAATTGCCAGCACAGTAACAGCATTTTTATTTTTCATATTAATTGTTTTCCTCATCAATCGATTACATAAAAGAAATATAATGTCAAGTAAGAATACATTTGTGATATTTGCATTTTAACATTGACATTTTTATTTTTATATGATTAAGTTATTTAAAATCTTAGTTTGATTTGATACTTGATGGTTTAATTTTTATACCAAACTAATGTTCAAGAGGCATGCCATTTATTAAACAATATTTTGCTTGTAATTAATATTGTTTATTTCAATATTTGTTTATTATTCAGTAAAATAAAATAAATTTTTTTAGAGAAAGTGTATTTTACATACTGAATAATTATGAATGAATTATTGAAGAAGTTGTTTGTCAATTATTAATTAGATATATATTTTTTTTTTTGATGGAAAACATACAATTTGTAAAGTTGTTTTTTTACAATAAGCATATTTTAAGTAATAATTTTTTTTTTTGATATGAACAGTTTGATTTAACGAGTAACCCAGTAGTAACACTCAACCATTAGATATAAATAATTGATATTATGTATACTCTATTCCAAAAGAGAATATACTGGGCGGCAACCGGTTTTTATTTGGTGACACACATCTCTTACATAATAGTATTGGTAGCGACTAGCAGAAGGAGAAAATAGTGTGTGGAACTAGTATTCTCTTTTGAAAAAGTGTATAGTTTGTAGCTTATAACCATTAACCTATATAATTATGTGTGATAATTTAAAATTTAAACTATACCAAAATGAATTTACTATAGTTACTTCAAGTAAATGAAACCTCTGTATATTTTAAAACAAATTGTATTGTAATATAGATGGAGAAGTATTTACTGATCCAAATTCACTTCAAATGGGCGAAGGTGTACGTGGAATTGGATTCATTAGTGGCTACATGAATTTACCTAGGCCTGATTTATATTATGGTGATCATGCAACTCTTCATATACCCTTATGGAAGACATACTATCCACGTGGTGATGCACCCCCTCCATATGATGAAGCTATTGCATTGCCTCACCAAATAGTACCCCAACAGTTAAATGCGTTAGTAGATGAAGTGACAGCTTACCATAGAACTATACCATTTAACATGACTGAAATTGAACAAAATGATCAGCCGCAGGCCTCTTGTAACCCAGAGACTGAACCAACTACCAACCAGCAATTTTTAGAAGACAGTAATAAACTAAAATATTTTATTCTTATCTCTATCACTAATTAAGTACCTAACTGATTGTTTCAGATCAAATGGATAATGATTTATATCAATGCCATGATAAAATACCTACAATTTCTAATGATGATTTTCGAGAAGAATGTGAAAATTGCAAGCATGATCAAGAACTTGCTGAAGGGTATGATGATATTTTCCCTGAACCAGAAACAATGACGCTAGAACGAAGACCACAATTATTAACTCATGAACATGCTGCAGTTGGTATTGAATCACGTTCATCAATGACCTTACCCGACAATGGAAGACTGCGAAGGTATTTAAATTTATATTTAATCATTGAGTTACTATTTATACTATAGACAATTGTATCATTCTAAATTATGTAGGCCTCATGTTGGTAACTTGAAAGACAAATACAGAGACGGGTGGTTTAAAGAAACTAGTTTAAAAGAAAATTCAACTTCTGATGATGATCAGCCATAACAGAAAAGGATCTTCATTGATTGGTATAATACTTTGTTATTATGGGTAACTGGGTAAGAATAAAAGTTGGTTAAGTACTGTGCACTTAGCATCAATTCAAACTATTGACTATTTTTTGTGTCAGTTTTAAAAAATGGTTTTATTTTAAGCCATTATAATGATTACTCAAAATCTTATTTCTTGATGCAGAATATGTCTAATATAACATTTTGCATCAAATATATAATAACTAATAAATGTAATTTTATAATTTCTTAAATTTCTGTCTTTTAATGCAAACATTTCTTTCTCTCAATGTATTAATATTGATACATACATTTAATATACCAAAGATTTATGTTTTATAGTTTATAAGATCTCAGCTAAAATAATAATTATTTTTAAAATTTGTATTATTTATAGCAATTAGTTGTTTTTAGATTGTATACTTTCTGTGATAAATAGTTATTTTTAGATAACTTCTAGTTAAATTATTTTATTGTGCCATCTAAGTATAGCACTGTACATTTTTCAATAGATATATATCATAACTTTTCCATACCAACATTTATTTTACAAATTTTAAATAAAAATAGAATATTTGTTATATCGTTGCCGACATATAAAAAGTGGTCAATTGATTTTTAACAGTTTTTGGTAAACTTAAGTATGTTAACAATTTTATCAATAAGGGTACTAATTTCACCTAATATTTTAATTTATAAATAAATGTTTAGTAAATTGTATTTTAAGATAGTTTATTGTACTTTTAACTTAGGTACCAAAAACTGTAAAAACAAAAATTCACCACTTTTTATACAATTGAGTTGATTTTCAAATAATTTTTGTATTAATTTTTTCGTTGGTGGTTAGAACAGTATATTATAATGCATATCGTTTTTGTGGAATGGACAATAATATATTAATATTCTTTATTCTTTAATATTTAATGAACAAACAAATAGGTACTCGTAAGTTTTCCATAATTAAAATGGTATAATATTTATTTAATCAATAAATATTTTAATTTCCTGATTACTTAGTGTTTTTTTTTTTGTTTTTTTTTTATTAGCTTTAAATTTTTACAATTATAAGTATCCAAACACTGTTAACAAAGTATTTTTTAAAAAAAGGATCCCTATTTAAATAATCCATTGTTGATTTCTTTTTTTTTATTGACTATAGTTCTTAAAGTTATTCAAGAACTCTTTTTCTTAACTACCTAATAAAATACTAAATAATTCAGCTAAATATGTGATATTTATGCAATGAAAAATATCCAATCATATTTCAATTTTTGTTAGCTCATTATTTATGTTTATACCTAGATAAATCTTAAAAAATAATATCTCCAGGTTGAATTTTTTTTTCTGTCTCAAGTAATTATTGTCGTAAATAGGTATACTTAATCATATTAATTAAAATAATTTTTATGATTTTACTAAGTAAATTCATACATTCAATGGTGAAATAAATGTTTTATACCTACTACAAAAGGAAATATTAAAATTTCTAATCTGTTCTCTAAAAGACGAACATAAAAGTATGAATAATAAAAAAAAACTTAGTAACTAGTGGTATTACAGATACCACTATCCTTAAATTACTGTTTGGTACACCACCGTCAACTTTTTTATTTTTGTTGTATATTTTTTTTATACACTCCTATATTAACTAAGTTTTAATTATATTATTTTGTTTAAGGTATCCAACCATGTTTATTGCTAATTTAATTTGCCCAGAATGCTTTACTGGAAACCCATAAACTCAGACCTGAGTTTGATAGGTTTTATGTAGATTAGTATTTATAAAATATTCAACTCGATTTCTCTTTGTATACCTATTGAATTTTTTATACTCTTGAAAAAGTGTACCTAGTTATAAGTAAATACATTTTTATTGTTAAATATATTTATTACATTTACTAATCTAAGTATTATATATATTATTTTTTTTAGATTAAGAGGATTAATTCCTCTATCTATTCCATTAAATATAAAAATGTTTTAGTTAAAAAATATTTATGAGTTTTTAGTTATTACTAGGCTTTGGGAATAATAGCTTCTAAATTCTAATACATTAATTTTTATTTGGATTGTTGAAAGAATAGAGGGGTCAAATAAAAATCCTATTTCAGATAGACTGGATCAAAATCCAAAATTGTATTTTGCATATCTTAAAGTTTTTGCTTATTATACCATATTTAGTAATTACCCACTACATAATTTTTTAGAACCTTTTTTTAACTATTTTGAAAAAAAAACAAAAATTTGTTCTTAAAAATGAATTAATACATTGCGTAAGTATATAATGATTTTCCACTCAATATTATATATTATGCTCCTCACCTCTGAAATATTTCTTTATATTATACTTATGTATGATTTTATTGTTATTACACATAACAGGACATTGGCATTGAAGCAATATATCTGTACAAAACGAGAAAAATGTATAATACAAAATAAACATAAATTATAAATTCCAATAATTCTGTCATACATTTTTTTTTTTTTTTGAGTGCATAGTATAAAATATTTTTTTAATGTATATCTACATGAATATTTGTGAGTTTTTTTAGAGCTATCAGTTCCTAAGCCTAGTTTTTATGTTTGTTTAAAGCGTTTTTCTTTATTCTGTAAATGTATTTTATGTAAGTAATGTAATTTTAATTTTCAAATATTTATGTTTAGTAAAGACTTAAGCTTAAACCAAAGTACTGGAAATAAACATGTGTTGTAATTCAACAGTATCTGACAGTTTGTCTAATTTTATTTAAAATGTGAGTATTGTACTCCCAAATTTATAAATATAATTGATGACTATATTTAAACATTGCTTGTTTGCTACAATTTGTAGTGTTACGAATATCAGTCTGTTGTTCTTATCAAAACGACTTATAACGTCTTATGCCCATTATTAATTGTTAAATGATACTGTTTATATTGTTTGTTTTGATCGATTTTTGAGTTTTTTTTTTGCCAACATTACATATTAAGACAATGTATACAGTTTGATCCAAAATTCCCCATATCACCTCAAACGACCACCGTACCAAACTACCAAATCCATGTATCTAAATGTGGTTAACAGAAAAATATCTAGGTATACCATTAAATTGGAATTTCTTATAAGTTATAGATAACTTTTGTGGAATTCACAATCAAATCAATATTGATAAGTACCTTTATCACAGACATATAGTAGTATGTTACCTTTTGGACACACTTGATGTTTACGAATATAATATATTCAATAATCAATTACATACCGAATTGCCATCTGCAGTGTATCAAAATAGTTAAGTGACTAAGTTGAGAGAAACGCATAACCGTTATTAGTTAAAAAGCTTTTCAAAATAAGTGAAGGTATAATAATATGAAAAAACAAAATTATTATGAATGCACACTTCCTCGAACAGTGGATCTAAGTGTTCCTCGGCTATGCAATGCCATTGATGATGTTACACTTGACATGCCATAATTGAATCTAATGAAAAAGAAATGTGTGGTATCTTTCTGAAGAAGACATAGTGTATTGGTAAAGTTTAATTTTGAAAATAATAAGTCTGCTGATTTAGTACCATATACAAGGTAGGGGAAGGTACTTAAAAAGTTATTAAATATTTAATAATAAAAAAAAAGTGAAATTGTACTAATAACTAATGAGATGATATTGCTTAAATATTTATTAATTAATAATAAGATATCAAGTATATTTTGTATAATATTATTTATATATTAAAATAAAATGTTGAGAGGAGTAATGTAATAATGACAATATTTTTTATGTAAAATTAGTCATGTTCACTACTTCAAGTTTTGAAAGGAATCGAAATCTAATTTTTAATTGGTAGGTCGTAGGTATAATCCAACCTACTTTTTTTCTTGTAATCACAACGCTGTTTAAAAATAATCAGTTATTATTAAAATACAACAGTGTATTAGTGATAAATTCCTGAAAGTTTTCTAGAAAATTGGAAATACTGTAATAACATTGTGATATTTTTGTTGAGTTTATCCTAATATCGTTAATTATTGGTTTATTCTATTAAATTTTAAAAAAAACTCATTAAAATAACTAAGTATCTACTTTAAAGTTTAAATTGCGCGGTCTTATAGTATTAATAATCAATACGAGTCGCCTCTAAACATAAAATAAAACATCCTTTTTATAGAGGTACGTAAATTCAAATAAAATATAACGAAAAAAAAAAATACCAAGATGCGTAGATAACTTATGAATGCTGCTGATGCACACCTAATTTTGAATTTTATAAAAGTAATTTTCAGTGATACGATAATGTATTATGATATGTTTAAAATTATAATTATAATCATCCTATTCGATATTAATTAATGAAAAAAAATCTTTTCGCGAATCAGTTAGTGATTTGAACTATGATTTGACTATAATTCAGAATACTTTTGAACTTATTGTAAAAAAATTTAAAAATGCCAAATAAAATTTTTGGCGACTCTCAATCAATTACCTAAATCCACCTACGTTAATTGTATTGCACAATAAAAGCTACGCAATAGAACAAAAAAAAAAAAAAATGGATTCCTACAGATATAACATACACGAGAACTGTTCAAAAAGTATCCAGCCAAAATAATGTTATTGCGACTAATGCAGACATGATTTCGTCTTAAACCATAAGTACCTATATTATAATAAATATTATATTCCCCGAGTATTTGTCAATTTTTTAACAAAAACCCAAACCCACCATAATCTTATCTCAGTTTAATATGACACATGGTCGAAGAACGACCGTTATTGTTTCGTTTGGCGATTTCGACGTGTCTGGAATTATAACGAACGACATCAAGTTTTGTTTGAAACCATAGGTAAAAATGGAACGGAAACGTGTGAAATGATCAAACCCTCGTTTGGAGGTGATATGAAGTAGTTGAGACCTCTGACTGGCGTGAGTGGGCATGGACCAGTTGCGCCCAAAACAAAATTTGTATTTTTGGATCAGTGTGCCTGCAATTGAGCTTGTATTCAAATTTCCCTATCAGCTACCTCCGGATATGAAAATAATGTTGTTCGATCTAATCGCATCGACATCAGCAATCTACGCACTAAAATGGTTGAAAATAAAAAACTTATTTATTGATCAATTGATTACTGTTTAAAGTGACCGATGGTTATAAATTTATAATATGTTTTCATATCGAATATGATTGATTCATTGTCCATCCAAATATTTTTGTCTTTTTGAAACCCAATAATCGAAACACAGACTAGCACATATTATATTGCAATAAATAGCACAGAACAAGATAAATCTATTTCAAATAGAGCATATTTAACGAAAAAATTAACAATCAATTTTATTATTGAGGGATACAAATCTGACGAAATTACCGGAAAATTTAAAATCAGTGTGTTATTAATTATTATTATTATTGTAAAAATTAACGTAAAAAATATTTATTTATATTATATTATCATGTATTATCTATATTGATACTCCCAACAAATATTAGTTAGTGTATTCATTTATTATATAATTATACATTTAAAACTAACTAATAAGCTTTTCTTAGGTGTTGTAAAATGATTTGAACGCAATTGGTTTATCGACCCTAAAATGTTAAGATCGCAATAGGTATACGAAAAGGTAATTTTAAGCGTAACAATTGGTAAACTGCCGTTTAAAAGCTACGAAGACTGCTAATGAAGAAATTTTCTGTCATCCAAGTAGAGATTTATAACTTAACTACTAATTGCCATCATGTTGAAAATACGTATCTAGGTGTTGTCTGAATATTTTAAGCCCAAGCAATTATATGGAATAATGATTATTTTTATATCACATTTTTGACGGTGTGGGTATCCTGGTATAAATTCAACCATGACTCGAGACTTGAGGGGTAAGTACGATGCCATATGTATACCCCCTCCAACACGAAGTTTTTATAACAATGTATCATAATCACAACAAAGTATACGTATAAAAATATACAGTGTTCGAGCCGAATAGACGCCCGCTGTCTAGATCCAACATTTAATCTTATGGGAATTATAGACTATGACAACTATAGCTATTATATATTTATATATTATAGTCAGCGTTCGCTTAACGAAACTTAAGATTTGTTTTTTTTTTTTTTTTATGATTTTGTGGTTGGCTTGTCGTTGAGGCACCACTTTTGTTATTTTTATTAGGGACACAAGATAATTTGCAAATACCTATACATTGTATATGCACTTTTATCGCAAACATTTGACGGTAAATAATATTATCAACTTGTTGGTTCTTTAAACAATAAGAAGCACACTATACATAATCTGAAGAAATGTATTTTTATTCTAGATGTGATTATGTCCTAGGATATATTTACCCCCCTGCAGGGAATGTCGAAATATCCTAGTATATATTTACCCCTGGTAACTATGACCTGGGGTATATTTACCGGGGGGGGGGTATAAATGATTTAGGGTAATAGAATCCTGTGACACCGGCAATCATTGGCAGTCAAACGGAGGGGGGGGGGGGGATGAATGATGATATATATCTCCATGACCTTTTTTTCTATGCGTTTATAAGATCTGATGATTATAAATTATATTTTTAATAGGTAATTAAATAGTGTATGTTAAAAAAAAACAGCCATTGCCCCTCCCCCTCCCCCCTCGTGACAAAACATTTGACCGCCAAGACCAGCAGTCAACTAAAGATGTTCTACGTTCAGGTTGACCATCATCGACATCCAGAAACGGTGATGTTTTGGCGACAATTTGTGAAATTACCTTTACGTCAAACCGTTCGCGAGCTTGCAGATGACGCAGGAACTCGATTGGATCTCGACGTCTTGTCAGTTGTCATCAAATTCTAAGTAGTAGACAATTAATAAAATATGGTAAACGTCGCTGCAAAATTTGTTCCTTGAGAACGTTGTTTTCAGCGCTGTCGGCTCGTGTATTTTTGATCGATAAGAAAATATCCGAAGTCCAGCACCCATCATCCTATTCTCCCGATCTGCCCCCGAGTGCTAGAATTTGCGTCTAGCAGTCGACGTTTTAAAGACGAAGAGGAAGAAAATACGACGACAGAACTCAAAGCCATCACTGCAGGTATAACTTCGGAACACTCGCAAAAGACTTTGGAAAAATGACAAGCCGGCCATTGCATATCTTCTGGATGAGACATATTATCTTTAAATCGCACGAATTTTAAAATGTGTATTAAATAACAACAAAATATTTGTATCTTTTGAACGGACCTCGTATTATGTACCGTGTACTTGGTATATGTTGTATGCGTTAGTGTGGTTGGGGGGGGGGGGGCATTTGCTCCTGTCTGGTTGTAACAGCAGTGTCCTACTGTTGGGCCGGTTGTTACTTGTTGATGAAATAGCATAGGTAACTATAATAATTTGTCGAGTATTGAAGAAATATAATATTTTGTAAGCACTAGAAAACTGTTGTCTCGATAATAATTAATATTAATATAGATTTTAGTTCAAACAGACGCTGATACTATAGAAACAAAACGATTTCACTCTTAATAATTTATCCACGATAAAAGTTTAGGGTAGAAGGATTATATAATATGTATTCCATTAAGTTTTAGCAAATGTGTTTCATATAATATAGTATTTTAATTTGTTCGACCTCTCCAGAAAAGTATAAAATAACGCCATTGAGTTAGGTCTTAGATTACACAATTATTGAGTTCTTCCACGTTTTTTTTTGTTTTGAAATGAGACTATTTATTTCCTCAAATACGTTAGGTAAGTTATGCAACATAAGAATTGTATCGAGATAAAAATTTGAGGAAAGTATTGTTTACGAACGAAGTGATCCGTTTGTTTTTTTTTGTTCAGTTATGGTCAAAACGTTTGCCCCCTCTTATTTAAAACTGGAATGACGCCACTGCTGTAACGGATATTGTGTTAACGTTGAATTCAATATGATAAATCATTGCATACGAAAAACGATTCAGCGGAGCAAAGATAGCCTTTATTTCTTAGGAAAGGTTAGGATAGGCTTATAGTTTATTTATATTACTCAATAATTTATTTTTCTATTATAAAAAGGTAGGTTGAACTAGTTTTCAGTAAAAAATCTCATTATGCTGTATTATAATGATTTTTAAAATATTATGTTGTATATTTTTTTTTTGTTCTGTTATATTTTATTAGTATTCTATACACGGATACTTACATCCCTTACTACATGAGTACGATGTACAATTAAAGTTTACAATATAAACATTCAATTACTTAACTTCATTAAAATACATTTATAAATTAAAGTAATGTCCTTTACATGCTTAGAGGCTCATTGACCATACAATAATAATAATATGTGGTGCAATATACCGACGTGGGTACTGTAAAAAATATGAATAAGTTTGTGCCGTTGGTGGTTATAAATAACTTAAATTAATATCTTTGAAAATTGTATTGTGTAAATAAATAGTAACCCACGTAATGTAAAAAAGTTTCAACTGTTCCAAGTATCTGCTACGGTTGATATTATTTGAATTACAATTGAATCAACTAAATTGATGGACAATTTTAATTTTTCGTTTAAAAGCCCAATTGTGCCTAAATTAGAACTTATGGTGACACTTATGGTATGGTTAACACTTTAACAGGACGTAAAACCAAAATAAATCGAAGAGCGCTGAGTGGGTCTGTGAATATTGAGTTTAATGCATTTCCGCGTGTTTTTTACTTTTTACTTTTTCTAACTTGTATAAACAGTACCCAATGTTATAACAGCGTAGTTATTTAGTAAGTACATTGTGCATTAATGTTTCACATGCATGCAGATGAAGTTTACTGAAGTAATGTTATACTTACTCCAGGATTTTTGACTGCTTAAGTTATTTACCTTTTTGACTTGACATTCTTTCATTTTTCTAACTTTTTTCAATAGATTTAATAATTTATCTTTAATTGAAGTTTTTACACTTATTTTATGAAATATTTTTAATTTTTATCGAAAAAATATTTTACATCTTATATTATGTAGGTACCTACTTACGTACTTCGCACTTTATTAATGTCTTTAATTCAAAATATTTAACATTTTATAGATTTTTAAAATTATAATCGTTTATAATCCATTTAATACTGACTTTTTTTCGTGATTGTAAGTGAATTTTTTAAGATTTTTAAAACATTAAATTCACAGCCCTATAACAGTACTTTCATGAACTTAAAAGTTATTATAATTTGTATAATATGTATTATATTATAATACCTCATTTATAACATATATTATATCATAAAATGGCACATATAAAATGTTATCGTTACATGAATTGAATAACTTATTTTCGTATATTTTAACACTATATTTAGTTGCATTAAAAATGTGTAGAAAGTAAACAATATATTACAATGTTATTATAAACTACGATTATTTTCATTAATGAGAATTACAATAACAATACAATTACAAATAATATGTGTTTATTTTGTTCGTAATTAGTATGCAACTTGTATATTTCTGTTGTTTCTCAGACAGAACAGCAAAACACATGCCAGATGAAAAATGTTCGGTGTGTTTTGTACACTGATTGAAGGATTATCTGAAAAAAAAAAATGAAGGACAAACAATTTGTGTCGAATTAATTTAATTAAAAATGTAAATGGTAACATCACAAGTAGGTACATCTAAATCGAAATTCAGACCGTTATTTTTAACGGTTATGTTGCTAGAACGAGTAACAATCCCAGAAATATAAATATACAATGACATGACTGTGTCTTCTATTCTGTACACATCTGAAATATCTCATGTTGTCTATTTTCATTCTTTGAACTTTGTTCAACTTTGTTCTAACTCCCGTCTTATTTATTAACAATAATATTGCTGAAGCTAAGAAAACACACCGCTGAAATTCAACGACGAATAACAAGATAATTTGGATCTGTTTTTGGTTCTAACAATTTGGGCTGTACCATCATATATATAATAAATTTACTTAATAGAGCCTATTTATATATCTAATAATTTTTCTGCCGATTGCTTTGATTTTTAAATGTCGTTTAATTCTATCTACCTATTCATAAAAAGTGTTCTTTTAAGTCCACTATAAGATGTCTCGCACAGTTATCTGCTGTCTCCGTTTTACAAGTGTGTAATACCAAATTTTACGCTCAGCAGATCACGTTTAGCTCCGTTAACCTCTGATAAAATTTTATGACTCCCTATCATAATTTCACCTTTAAATTTTATAACAGATCAATTCACTCTAATTTTTAAACTATCGGGGCTAAACGTGATCTTACGCAAGTGTAAGATGGAGACTAGACTATAAATGTCCTTGTAGAGTTCTCTTAAGATGGTATTTTTACAACCATTCACAAACACACAGTAGATACATCACAACAAAAAAAATTGTCTATTTGAAAATAGAGGTACTGTAAAAATAAGGTTCTTATTTGAAAAACAGAAGTTTGTATCGCCGCAGGATACTCTTGATATGATACAAAAATCTAAGTATTTAAAAATATGGCCTTTGCTAATATTTGAAAAATTGAAAAATCAGATTTTGAATAAAGGCATCATTAAAGGAAAAAAGGGGCAAGCATGCTTTGTGAAACACCTTGTATATTAGCCGTTTCTCGCACATTTGGAAAATTGCATTAGATTATTGCATCAATCGTGATATGTAGTGCACTACCGTTACATTTTCTTTTTGTTCGGGCTGACGAAACAAATACCGTTTATAGTATTTATACACGTGGTTGGTTCTAGGCGTGAAATCTTCATCCAATATATTAAGAGTGTGCGTATAAACTTACTTGCATTTGGAGGAATTACATTGTGGATAATATAAACAACAGAAAAAAAACGCATCTTGTAATTGCTCTTAGCCATTATGAAGAAAAATCGCCTTTTTAGTTGTCGTTTTTTATAGCTTTATCCAACCAATAAAGCATGATTGATCTCTTCTTTTTGCACCGATCTCTTCCAGCCATGCATACACCCATAGGGCTACCCAAAACCGGTAAACGGGCACAAGTTTTATACAGATACGTTACAGATTAATTCATTTGATATTGCGCGTCTTTGTGAAATAATAAATTAATATTCAATGTTTGGTTGAATGTTAATTTTAATTTTAAAATATTAAATAAGTTAAATTATATACTATACCTTACAATAACGGTAAAATATACAATCGTATATTACAAAAATGATAGGTTGTATATAACTAGGTCACACTATACAGGTATATTTACGTAACTTTACATTTTTAATGACAATAATAACAATGTAATATGTAGGGGAGATGCCCGAATATCAGTAATTCAATTGAATACAATAAAATACATTGCAACTATTTTATTGATTACTATAGCTGGCTTTTCTCACTCCATTCGCCAACCACCACTTTTGACTCATAACTGTCATTTTTTTTATTTGTTTTTTTTTAGTTGTCACATCAACGATATTCTTAGAAAATAAAAATCACAATACTTTTTTATTTGGGTAATAGAGAGATTTATATATTTAAAGAAAACCGATTAATGTATATTATTGTTTTCAGTGTGATGAGAAATATTATCCCATAAAGACGACAGTCATAATATTATATTTAGACAGTTTTGACAACGGTTAACTAATTTGAAGTCTTACGACTTGCCAGGTCTGATTCACTAAAATATGTACCATTGTAATCGCTTTATCTGTATAACATATATGTACACCCTCTAATATGTCAGTGCTTAAGTCAATCTAAATACCTTAAATAATTTACTTTTCAACAAATTGGCAATAAACTAACACCACTAAAAATTATGATACGTACAATTATATTATATTACAGGCATTTAGTTATTTTAATTAATTCGAATCACAAAAACAATAGCAGGCTAAACTATTTAAAAATCATAAACACTTAATTTAAGTTCTTTATTTTTTTAGGAATATCTAGAGACTTCTATAGGGGTTGTCTTGGAATCGGATTTAACGGAAATTTGTTTATAGAAATTGTGTACCCATACAAATTGAAAATGTGTATGCTTGGCATAGGTAAATCTGTTGGGTATTATTCTACATAGAATTTCACATTTATTCGTGACATTGTTTTATAATCTTGTATTAAATTTCTTATATAATACTCTTGCAGTCTTGTATTACGCTGTGTTTTCATCTTAGATTCCGAGTGGAATCTATATAGAATTTTAATAAACTTTTGAAATCTGTGAAGGTCATTTATATTTTAGATTCTTGGAAGAGAGAGGAATACATTATTAGTCTTACACTGGATCGGTTTTCTTCTTTTTTAGTTGTAGGAGTATACCTAGTAGTAGTTTAGCTAAGCGTAATCAGACACTATAAAGAGCGTAAATAGATATATAGTGTCAATTGATGGATTGTAACAAAAAAAAGTATAAACGTTGGAAATAAAATTGATTTTAGTTATTTTTAATTAATTTCAAAAAATGAAAATACTAGAGACTTGAAATTTATCATCAAATATTTGTGAATATTAAATAGATGTGAAGAAAACGAAAATTATTTTAACGGTATATATTTATTATATACTTGCTTCGTTCATACGTCATTAATAAACATATAAACTTTTTACATTTCTAGTTTTCACTCAACATTTTCTGATCGGGCATAAGCATAATATTCACACAATAGTATTTATACCTATACGTACACAGTACAGCACTCTCATATTTAGTTACATTTGTTAATCTTAAATAACTTAATTTAATAGTTGTTAGTTAATACCTACACGATATCGTTCTAAGAAATTTGGCTGTGTGTCACTCGAACTACGGGTGATCGTACTTACTTCATTTTTATTAAAACGCATAAAGTTGTATAGGTAATGTAATATAATATGTACGATAAAGTAATGTAATATAAAGTAATGCAGGACGAATATACATAAAAGTAAAACATACAGATGGCGCATATAGGGCTCCACATTCTCGGTGTAGGTAACTCAAAAGAATGTCACAATTATGGGAAAGGTTGAAAAACATAACTAAAGCCCTAAACTGATCTAAATTATTCTCATCCAATTATAATTTGTTACATTTGTCTAACAATAAAAACCTACCACTTGATAATGTCAAATCTACCTATATTTTAATAGGTACCAATAATATTTGAATATATATTATTGTTTTTGTTTTGAATTTAGATCTATATAGTTAATATATTTAAATTATTTATACCTACTTATATTATTACCAAACGTTTTCACTTAATTCCACAATCCAATTAATGTTTTATTATTATTTTAATTGTAGACAATAATATTTAAATACCTAGTCCATAATTATCTACCTCCAACTATGGCATAGCTTACGGGAGGCTGATTAAACAAACTAAGAACAATTGCCGATTGCCGAGAACACATTTACATCTACTAAAATAAATTTTTTTTCAAGCACTCTTGGCCCATTACAATTTTTAATTGTAAAGCGACAACGACAATGACGATGACAATCATGACATGGTGTCAAATACTAATAGTTATCCGACCGTATTAATGGCCTTCAGCCGATGTCTTTATCTGATCTACATTATATATCGTCGTTATCGTCGTTTTACAATATTGAAAACTGTAAAAGAGCAATCAAAGAAAATTCACAATTAAATTGATGATAAAGATGCTGTGGCATGCCATGGAAAATCGTAAATACTAAATACGCATTGTTGTACACACGATGATTGAGTAGTATTTAAATAAATAAAATAATGACATTTAGTTTCAAAAACTGATCTGTAGGTGTTTTAAAATATTAGTATTTATTAATTATTTATAGTCTATAGGCGCATAGTTTGTATAATTCGTATTTACCTTGTGTTTTAGTCTGTTTAACTTGGTTAGAAATGATTGATTCTGTAGGAGGCCGTTTGGTGAACTTAACAACTTTTTCATCTGAGTGTAAATAAAATGAAGCAAGTCGAGCCGTACATTTCAGATATATTTCACCACTGTTATAATGACCATCGGTCACATTGAAGCTGAGTCCAAGAACAGTTGTCACAAGTCGTTCGCTACCTGTGAAGTGCTCCTTGTAATACGGTCCTTGTACAACCGTAGAGTTGGCCTAAATAAATTTAAAAAATGTTTTTAAATACTCTTATGTTCTATCACAAAACATCTAAAGCTATTTGAAAATCTGACAGTTGGTTTTCATTTTTTATTCTTTTTACACAAAAACATAATGCGTATCAAATATTATAAATATTAAATTATTAACGAAAGTATTGCACCATACATTGCATGGTGTGCCTCATGTTGCTTCTTCTCTTAAACAAAATTCGAATGCTCATAAATAAAAACTATAAAACAGTTAAATGATATGAGGGAATACAATTATTAAGTCAGTGAAGAAAGAGAGAAAAAACTATTATTATTTATATTTATTAATTTTTAGTCGAAATAATGATTTTTCTTTTCCGTGAAAATCAATTATTCACCAAATAATAAGTTTAACTTGAAAGTATTCAACAGCACCGAAATGAAGCCTATCGATTAATAAATATTTAGAAAGAATCATAGATTTCTATCAAATTGCTTCTGCCTATACATTTCTTGAAAGTATACTATTATCGTTTACGTCAATAATCAATTTCACGATATTTATTAACAGTTTACCATTCAAGGAAAAAACAAATAATAATTGAGAATGACAGCTTAAAAAAGTAGGTACCTATTTAAATATTAAAAATCTTATATTAAATCTTTTAGTTTCTAATAGTATTTCATTATGTTGAGTTAATATTAATATGAATAAAAATTAATAGAGAATCAACATATTATTATGTTTTACGTAATACATGTTTTATAATGTGTTAAACGTATACGAAATTTCCAGTGTATTACGATAAAATTACAAACAATTTTATTTTATTTCATACCACTGTAAAAATATTTAATAATATTTATTTAATAATTTACTATATTTTATCGGTGAAATACTCGTTATTAAGGTTAATTCTAGTATTTAAATAAATGCTTCAAGTATTGAGTTCCTCCCAATGCTTATTTAAATAATAATTGATTAAAATAGTTTAAGGCTGAATTAAGGTCGAATAAATGTGGGTTGCTGTTTACATAACTTCATATTATTTTACTCTTAAGGGCAATAGACTTTCAAAACAAATGTATAAGGTACTCTATATGACTATACTATGTGATTATGTTATAACTCATAATTAGATACCTACCACAACCTAGTTAACATAACAATTGTCTCACATTTATAATTATTATATTCATCTATAGTTTTTCAAATAATTGTTTTACATAAAATAATATATTCATATCTCCAATAATATATAGTGTTATAATATTTTATGAATTTTTGAAAATGATTAAGGAAATTAAAGTAAAATATTGTTATTTACTTAATGTAATTTTAGTTATTTCAAAACAACATTTAATTAAAACATCATTTGAAATGGTTATTATTCATAAATAATATTAATTAATAATTTGTATAATTAGATTTTCAAACACCCAGAAGCTAGAAACAAACAAACAATCTATTTAAATACTAGATATTATACGAAAACAAACGACTATGTATTATAAACAATACCTTTCTTGGAAACTGGAAAGTAAATAATAAATCTCTTAGATATTTTGTATTGTTGAGATCGGGAGTGCTGAACAACATTATATAATATTTATATTGACTCGTTAGTATATGAGCCAGAAACGCTACTTATCTATACTTGACTTTTGTCAAAAACGTGAAATTCTTATACTATATATTATCAGAGCGTGTTATATCAAGTAATATTTTTGCAAATTTGAAGAAGAAAAAAAACATAATAATAAACAAAAAAAAACAGTATTACCGTTTTTTCAGAATAAAGTTATTTAAATATTCTGTGTGTGTGTGTGTGTGTGTGCACGCTCGTGTATATATAAAGAGTATGTGGATAACATAATATATAATATTGAGAGGTTACGTCGAAATGAATATTCATTGCTTACAGATAAAAATCGAACAACATTATTTTTGAGTAAATACATATTATTCCCATGACAATAATTTTCAACGTTTCACAAACTCATTTCTCTCTTGCCTCTTTACATTTTTTAGCTTTTCGATCCCGGTACCTTGTGTATAACTCCATATGAGAATTTTACTCACATATGATAATACATATACATGTTTATTCTGCGCAGTCTTTCTCTCGTACGTACCTTTTCTTTGTTTATGTACCAAATGAGCTGGGCGTGAAATTGCATCCTACTCGACGTACAGTTGGCGTTTACAGTGTCCCCGACATTGTATTCCTGCTGAAGACCGGCAATCTGCGGACCTTCTTCTAGCGAATTACCGTGTGCAACACGAAAACAATCCATAACATTTTTTTGTAGTTTTAGTTATTTTTGTTTAAAAATAATTGTTTATAATAATAACACATTTTCACTGTAACATACCCACTGTAATCATATCTCTGTCTTGAAATACTGTTTGAAACGAAGGAGCCTCCGCCGACACTTCACACCTATAAGTTCCACTGCTTGACAGTTCTAAAGACTTGAGCACGACTTCGTTAGAATTTGATTTATCGATCTGAAAACAAAATTGAATGGTCTGGAGACAAAATAATACTACGTGTTGTTAATTTGCCTAAACAACACGCCGTTACTATAAACTTCTCAGTTGTTCTCTTGCTAGATATATTTTTTTAAGTTTATAATATAAAAAATAATAACTAACAATGATTTCTAAGAATTCATTTGAAACCTTTATTTAGATCTAAACAAAAAATTTAATTCATATTAAAAAACAATATCTTTAAAATTCGTTTAATTGATAAAATAATATTATTATTTGCATATTATAATATTCGGTGTTGTTTATATTTTTGTGTTTCCAAAATTACATTTATACCTGCACATTGAACAGTTTTAATTATTAGCTTTTGGAATATTTTTTATGCGTTTTAATAAAATAAAATAGTCTACAGCATAAAAAATATAATTTTGAAGCATAATATTGTAATTTCCATATCATGCTATTCTTTTTCATAAATGTTGTATATATTTTGTACTAATTTAGCACATTTATGTATATTAATGCAACTTAAAATATTTAATTTTGTTCCATTTATTTAAATATTTAATAATCATGTTGTTTTTATTATATGAGAGCATATATTATTTAATTGTAAATTGTTAACCGATTTAAATTCTAATTACGGAAACAAGTCAATAATTATAAACAACTAATACTTAAGTTTTTATGATCGGGAATAATCTTGGAGTATAGATCAAAGATACATTGTGTATACCTACCTCAGGCACATTAGGATTTTAATAGTAAAAAAAAAATGTTGAATTGATAATGTATTTTAATTATAGTTGACTAATGGGGCTTGATTTAATATACAATAGTGTAATGTATATTATTATTATGTATATTATATAATATGTGAGAACATTCACAGAATAATATAAATCAAATGTACATAATATGCTAATGTCTCCTATCAATAACTACATTAACTACGCCTCTTATTTTAATTGTAATTAATTTATAATCTTGACTTGTGTGTATTTAATTTACGAAATGAGATAAATGTAAAAGAAAATAATGCACTTATAAATCATTTTTATTTGTAATCTATATAATTGATAAAACAATTCCTTTTATTTTTAACAATAGGTTTATTGTTATATTAAGTATTTAGTAGACCTTTATCATAAATTTACTTAATAACTTTTAAGTAATATTATTGATGTCAAATATTTGTAGTTACATAAAATCAGTAGAATACCAACAATCTTTAAAATTTGTTTTACTTTATAAAGGTTATTAATTCCATCTATTGTTGATTTTACAATCAAAGTTTTAACAATTTATTCAAATTTCTAAGAAGACGCTATGATATTAAATTAGTTTTCATTAATATGAAACTGATCAAACAATTACCTGAAATCTCCAATAAAAGTATAATACTAGGTATACCGGAATATTCCTTACAGTTAAAATACCAAGGAACTTTGAGAAGTATTCCTCATTAAGCGCACACATGTAAAGACACGTTTTGCTATTTGGTCCAGGTCATTTTGTTTGAGTCATTTCTGAGTCATAGACCCAATAATGATATGACATTTATATTTACTTTGGATCCTAAACGTTAGGTGATATAAAAATATTTCTGTTGAATATTTCATTACTCGAACGCCAACCCTAAGTAATTTGTCGTTTTACCGCATATACGCAAACCATTACTCCCCTTCCCTCAAAACACACGTGTTCCATTCCTTAGGAAATGGGAGCAATATATTCGTATTTCCACCGTGTAATATATTTCGGAATTTTATCCGGAGTCACCCAAATTCATAGTGAAGAATAATAAATGTTTGCTTCTGTTGAATATATATAAAATCAATAGTTTGATATAAAACTATAGTTGATAATATTATTAGATTACCGATCAATATAACAATTATATAAAAAATACTTAACTAATGTATCATTACAATCATATTATTTTACATTTTTAGATAAAATATCTTTTCATTATTAACATATTTTAAGTATAAAATATTTCTTTAAAAATACCGTTTCCTATTTATATTTTTATTAAAAAGTATTGATAGGAATTATGAATCCAAATAGTCATTACTCGTTATTAATATATTAACTATTAAGTATATTATTATATCATATCAAGGTTTATTAGAAATACCTTAGATGTTCAATTATTTATAAAAGAAATGTTTAATCAAAAAAAACTGCCATACCTAGTAAAAGGTAAAATTTAGAATAAATTAGTTTGTAAACATAATCTTTATAAGTCAAAGTCAAATAATAAGCAGTTTGAGTTTTTTCATTTTTTTTTCTTATAGATACATTTATTATTTATAACATTATTTTAAAATATCATACTGCATTAAGAATGTTGTTTATTTGCTACTACAAATTATGACAAAATAACTATGCAATATTATTATTAATGAATAAAGTCACAGTATTTATTTTAAATGAAAATTTATTTTATATGTTAACAAACGTCTTCTTTTAAGTTTCAGCTTACTGTTATAGTATGACAATTCTGACAACCTACTGTGGATACACACATGATTGCCTGACCACATTTAATTATTATAATAATACATAATAATAATATATATATATATATTACATTGTACAATAATATTTGATTACTTACGTCAATATAGATGCCTCGTTTTTCAAAAACTTGTATTTTTGGTTTGCTTTTGGGTAAATATCTGAAGAACTCGTCCCCGTTCTTGTACCATTTGACAGAATACAAATTTTCTCCTTCTAGGTCGAATGTGCATTCTAATTTTGTACTACTGCCTAATACCGTATGGTTAGCTATTCGGACGTTCAACAATTTTATGTTACTGATGAAAGACGCTGAAACAAAAGTCAATATCAACATACGATTAGCCCGTACTAAAGACCAAACTATAATAATATCAGTAGTAGTAATAAATAAAAAATGAAATTATTATAAACAGTTAGTAGATAAGAGGTAAACACGTCAAAGCAGAGAAACAGTGTTTAACAATGGGTCCAACTACTTCATCTTTATCCCGTACAGTCGTATGATAAATGAGAAAACGACTATCTAATGATTGTCATCTAAGATATATATACTTTATATATTACGATTATCATTATTTAATATTTATCATTAATAAAAATAGATATTCATATTATTATGTTCCAAGACGTATATTATGCACCAATACTACATAACATTATATGGATTATATACTATCAAAGGAATTTAAAAAAAAGCTATGGCTGGACAGAATAATATTTTTTTGGTTTATTTATATTTAAAACTAAGGAATTCAAATATAATATACAATTACATAAAACGCGTACACCCGTACACGCATACTGTAATGTCAAACACGTGTAAGTGTATCGTTGTAATATTATAATCGTTTAAAATATTATATCTATATTAATATAAAATAAAAGAATGGAAAGAAACTTAAACAAAAGGCAATCACAATTATTTTCATCTTAAACATTATGCGTAGGTATTTTTTCACTTTTGTTTCTACATTTTTTGCTATCGGGGATATAAGCGCACTGCAGGCGATTATACGCATAATATATATTGTGATAACTGATTATATTATAATGATTGTCTAAGCGCCTCTTAAATAAATCATGAATACACACCCTCCGAATGTAAAATAAAGTATTAACTGTTTTTTTCCTGCTCTTTTTGATTTTTTATAACGATTATAATCGACAACCCATTTTGGATGTTATTTCATATGTTATACCTATACGTACTGTTATGCGGCACAGTAATAATATTAGCAGTGGTTGTATTATAGGTGTACTGTAAATAGTAAGCGTACATTACGTTGAAGAGTGTTTTCATCAAACGAAACCAAATAGAGTGTATTATTTTATCGCTGTATAATGACGACTATATTACGGTCTGAATTACACTTTTAACGTGTTTTATATTTTTAAATGAAATCAGGGAATGTGTGTACCTATGTGTGTGTGTTAGCGTATACATACTTACAATATATTATTAGACTCACTCCGCCACTTTAATTGTATATGCGTTTCGCGTTTGATATATAAATGTGTTTTAACGTAAATATTTTATTCCTACCCGTTGTTATTTTTTTAGTTCGCCTTTAAAAATCACAAATTACACGGAAACACTGTTTGCACAAACCTTTGAAAACGGGGGTTGGATGATGGGGTTTGCCCGTGATTTTCAGTGTGTAATTTAATTGTAGCGCATTTCACACGTAGAAACCAAACACCAGTTGTGTTTTGTTATTTTCACAATTTCACCAACACTATAAACTACGTGTGTGGAATCCAGATAAATCGGAACCGAGGAGAAAGAAAACAACCAATTTTTATCTTTAACCTTTGGGGAGGTGGAAAAATGGTAACTCGATTTTTATTAGCAAATTTAACGAGGGATAAAAAAAAAATACGGGACAAAAAACCACACCCAAAGACATGTCTAGGATTTTGTCATTTTGATCCATTGTAACCGACAAAACAGAAATTAAAAGAAAGTAAATCGAAACTTCTACCTTACACGTACAAGTCCCTTGAGTAACCACGTATATCATGTATAATTTGTAAGCAATTTGTTGTCATTGCAATATGATAAAAAAAACAATTCTTAAAGCTACAGTATTTTTTCAGCTACAGCGTTTTTCATTTTTACTTTACGTTTAGTCTTCACAAATAAGAAATATTACATTACTTTTGAAATACACGTAAGTACGTACCTATTTCAATTGAATATAATGTACTAACATGTATGGATTATACTTGTACAATATTAGCGTTACTTCCGATATTTATATTGGAATTTAATGTGAACTTACTGAATACTGTGCATATTATAATGTTTGCTTTTTAACCATAACATTAATTTTATGCAAGCTTAAGCGTTCATCAAAATGCTGGTTCTTGTAATTAAAATGCATAAATTTGTTTTAATTTTAAGTTATAAATAATTATATTCATGCAAATCAATCTTTCAGTAAGTTAATATTTGATTGAATTATTCGTTTTTTAAGAAAAATAATAAAACTTTCGCAATTTGTAATATAAATATTAAATACAATTCCCAATAAAATAAAAATATGTCACGTGATATTTTTACGAATTTTTACCACCAGATATCCTATAAAGTAATAAAAATATGAATTGGAGGTAGTATAAGTACTATAAAATTGCAAGGTTTATAATAAAATAAAATTTTGACCAATTGTTAATCTTTTTTATTTAATTAATATCCTTTAGAAACCAATTATTTGTATATACATTAATTACATAGTATAGTTATGTATGTACATAACGGCATTATCTTAGATATATTGTTATCTATGTACATACCATTACATCTTAGGTATAAATAAATATATATATATATTGTATAAATGTCCTCAATGCAACTTACTGAAGATGAACTATCAACTATTACACAGTGAAAAATTGTGTTAGTTATTATTAAGTTACTTAATACTTTAAAGAGATTAAAAAAGTGATAATTATTTTTAAGGCTGAAAAACTGTCATCAGAAAATTTTAAGTCATAATTATTACTGACGTCATTATAGCTATGTTAGGTAGGTAATTCATTATTAAACTTTAAGACATAAGACAAATTCATTTTTACTGATAGAAGTTATAAATTGTAAACATTGATTTAAAAAAAATTGTATAATTTTTTTATATGAATTAGTCAAATTGTATGTCTCATAAATTGTATTTTATTTTATTTATTTATTTGTATGGCTTTAAACCAAGTTGTAACAATATGACAATATGGACAAATATAAAGTAAGAAACTATTATAAATATCAATACCTAATAAATAACAAAAGCAAAACATATTATACAAAAATATGTATGTATCACACTTCTTTTACATTTTTAATTAGTCCTACTATTTTATTAGACATACCTTTTGATTTTATATATTATAATGATACTTTATGGCTTTACTTTTTGAGTAAGAAAATTTAAGTCATTTTGACTGTTGAATTAAACTTAACGGGTTTTTTATAGTTCATAAAATTTGTTTAAACAAGAAAGTACCAAACGTATTTTATATTTTTTAGTATTTTTCGTAAGAGTTGAGTATGGAAATTCCATGAATTATTTTATCTGACATAATTTTTAGAAGTATTCAATATAATTTACGATTGAAATTACCAATATATACATATATCACAATTTTCATCTTTTTCCTTTTTTTTCTTTTTTCTGTCTCGTTTATTTTTTCAGAATTCTGAATTTCCCCTTATACTTTTGATCGATAGCATTTTTTTTTCATAAATTAAATATACATTTCTTAAAATTGAATATAAAATTAAGACATTTAGATTTACTAAGCACAAAATATATTAAAATAATAAACGTAACTACAATATATATTGGAAATTTTAAATAGATACGTCAATAGTATCAACATTTCATCTACTAAATACACAACAGCTTCAATGAAGATTATTGGTTTAGAATATAAATTACTCGATAGCTTATAAATATATGATATAATAAATTCAAGGCAGGGAATTAACGAGTTTAAAATTAAATTAAGACGTTGATTAAATTTAAATTAAGTACATAACGAGTTACTTATTTTTGTGAGGAACTTTCAACTTAACAAGTCACTTTTTTATGTACCCACCTCACGTGTTAGTTTCAAGATAATTTAGAAGGTATAAAAATTAACCTAAATGCTTTTAAAATATATTATGACGTATACGGTATTTTTACTTTTAAGATATTTTCTCCCACTATGATAATATGGCTCGAAGCTTTATTAATGAACAACATCGAAATCTCACTATTTGTGTCACTAATTATAAATATAAAATTTGAATTTCATTTAAAATTATTATTTCTCTTTTAAAATAAACATTTTTACCAAATTTTAATAATTTATCATGTTTAGTAACTTTTTGAAAAAAAATCATAGGAACTTGCTTCTATCTTGTAATTCAAAATTAGTTACCTTGTCTAACCTTTTTTATGTAATATAAATTATATTAGTCAAGCGTTATACGTTTGAATATCTGTCAATACAGTATACTCGTATATACATGTGACACGTATGGTGTTATATTATACTCGTTCAACAGAAATATATTGTCAGAGTAACATAAATCATAATAAATATATATTGCATAAAATTTCCTACCTGAAACAATATAATACATTGTCGAAAAAAGATCGACCACAAACTCACCAAAAATCACACTCACACACATCTGCGGCGCAGATTTCAAATCACGAACCGCAATCATATTACGATGGAGTCCTACCACGGCGGCGGGGTGAAAGCCAAGAGCGCAGCGAGGGCGACCAAGAGAACCTTGTCCGCAGCAGGGATCGCCGATAAGATGGCGGACAAGAGGACAAGAGTCGCGGCCTTCAGACGCCCGAAGAAAGCACCGCCGACGGCGACGCCAAAGACCGCCGGCGAAAATCTTCCTAGGCTGCCGGAGGTTGCAGTCGCCACCGGCGCCGCCGCCTCCTCGAATGTCGGTAAATCGACTACAGGCGATGACGATTCGGTGGACGGAAACGATGCGCGACATGAAACCCACGAACCTACGTGGACTGTTGACAACTACGTGCGGTTGTTGCGGAAAAGTCTAATGAATGAATGCCAATCGCATTTCAGTGGTCGTGACGCCGTGCAGTCCGGGGAGACGCTCGGTCTTGGAGAGGACGCGGTTGCGGTGTTGGTAAGACGGGCGATGACCGCGGTCCAGGTACCTAATCTACCTATACAGCTGTTTATACGGCCGCCCGTTAAAATCAATTTGTATCTGTCACCCATCATTCTGATGAATAATGTCATCATTTCTGTGACCCTAGACTGCTATCACCTTGTCCGTTTTCCGCCAAACATCATAATATATTCCCAGGCGCGGACTGGTAAAAAAGGGCGCGGGATGCTACATAATTTAAAGGGCAAATAAAACAAATTTTAAATAATAGGTTATTTATAAAATATTTAAACATTTTCTTTTGTTTTATTAAAATATTGTAAATACGTTAAAAATGTAAATAGGTGCCAAATTACAACAGCAAGGCAAGGTTAAAAGGCAACGGCAAACTTAAGGGTCAGTAAATTGTGATTAATTTTTGCCCCCCCCCCCCCAAACCGCGCCACATAACAATTAGAGCTAAGTTCCTCTTATAAAGATTGTGTTAATAATAAATTAAGAAAGTATATTTAATGTATATAAAAAACTGCTCAAACTAATTTACCTATTTTCTTATTGGCTACCTACTTTAAATGTATTCTTTTTTATTTATGATTGTTATAGTTATTACATAAATAATAGATCTACATCTACCTACGATTTTATCAGAGAATTTTAACCTTCTCCTTCAAAATTCAGATTAATTTTAGGTGGGCACATTTATACCGATAGAGGCAAATATATTTTAAGGCAAGGGATGCTGTAGCATCCCAGCATCCCAGCCAGTCCGCGCCTGTATATTCCGATTGCCACAAAAAAAGAATTAATAAATCATTTTAGATATTTTTAATAAAAATACTATATTATATATACATATATATGTATAATACATGACACATAAAATAATAAATAATAATACATATAATACTAAATGGTGGATCGTATAGTTTTCAATCAACTAAACAATCTCAATGTTCTATAATCTTTGTAAATTACGTCTTTAGCCATTTTTATCAATTTCATTTGACGGTAGGACCTGCTAGTTCTATATCATTTCATTACCTTTTGATAAGGCACGCGGTCGCTTCATGTAAAGTTTTGTGCAAACTAAAGTATTGCAGTAATTTATACATGACATATTAATTTAATAGTGGCCCTATTACCGGGTCTACTTGTTATAAATGTAAAACTTTAGTTATTTACCAATTACCGTTTACCTTTTTGAAAAAGGTTAATTGTGGCCCAATTCCCGGGAAAAATATGTTGTATACTTATATATATACATACATATATCAACTTTTTACTATGCAATATTTAAGAAGTAACTATTCAAGTTCTTACTCCTATAGCAAAGATTATCAACTATACTTATCACTTGGTTTCAAAATCAATATTTCAAATCTTCGATTGTTTTCTTCTCAGATAATTTAAATTCTTATAAACCTACCTAATTAATAACTTATTTGACTATAAAAATGAATAAAGCCGAAGAAGGCTCTACAAATGTACAGATAAGAAGTAAACAAGGTGATTAAAGGCAAACACTCATTGTTTTGACTTTTAAAAGTATTTACGTTATTGAGAATATTTTTTTACATATATCTATTCATTATAGTTTATAAAATTACATTTTTGAAGAATCACGCAGCATAATAATAATAATAATAATAATAATAATAATAATAATAATACAGCATTATAATGCATACTAAAAGTAAAAATGACATGATAACTTTATATTATATGTTTATAACATTCATACCCCTAATTATATAAAAGGTACGGCATTTTATTGTGCTCTAAAATTAAACCACAATCAACATAATATATTTGGTAGGTAACACAATGAGGGTTTTATATACCTATTCCAAAAAAATTCTTAACTAAATGTGGGTCGTGGATGGTATTGTTTTTTAAAAACCATGTTGTATTTTTAATTTTTAACATTTTAACTTTTATATAATAATAATAATATTATTTTAAAAGGCATATGCAGTATACTTTTGAGCGTTTTATCATAAAATAGAAAATAAAATAATCATTATAGTAGCATAAATTTGATACTAAAAAAGATAACTTAAATTTTATAATTCAAATATGTAATCATATAAGAATTATAATAGCTGAGATTAAAGACGTTTCACAGATTATTTATTGTATTTTTTTAAAAAAAATATACTTTTTATATTCCATTTAGTTATAGAAGTGCTTTGGCCGTTTTGGGTAATTAGGTAAATAGAAATCTCGTTATCAGATTTTACTATGAACCTTATAAATAAAACATTTAAAGTTAAATACACATATTTAAATGAAAACAATGTACCTACTATGTTAATCAATATTAATTTTAGATTCTGAGCAGTGCTGTGAACGTATTGATTTTACAATGATATGAGTTTTTTTTTGTGCCTGTGTACAAGTTTTATAATAGAAAAAATGCTTTGATCTTTAACTTTGAAGGAGGTTTCTGATAGAAAATTGGGGATCTAGTTGGTACTTTTGAGAGGTCAAAGTTGAAAATTCCTAGTACTTTTCAAAATAATCGAGGGGAGGGGAAAAAAAGGTGGCGCTGTGTAAGTAGGTACAGCTCTGTTGTACGGCAGTTGTCGAGTGGGTTATTGTAATGGCGTGTTAAATTTAAATTCAATGAGATTATAGCATTGTATACGAAAAACGATTTTGAGCGGAGGTTTGTCAACCTACATTACACACCTACAAATATATTTTGTGGTATTGTAGTTATTAAAGTAATTTGTTTTACTATTAGTAATACAATGGGTTGAATTTTTTGTCGATAACGTTGCAATTGAAAATGTCACTGTGTGCATAAAATATAATTTTTTTTTTTGTTTATCAATTAGGTAGTTATACGCAAAGCTTGTGGTAAGACGGTTTGTGCGTTACAAGATGTAGTTTGTACTTAAAACTAATATAATTATTTAAACTATCAAGTTATACTATAATAATTACTTAGAACATAATAATTACTTAACATAGGTATTACTTAAAACAAAACATGGACAAAATGAAACATCACAAAGAATAAAATATGGTCGAATTAAAAATATATTTATTTTTTTATAATTGTATTAAATAAGCAAACAAATTTTTAATTATATGGATAACCTTGTTTTCTATATCAATATTGTAGAATATGCATTTTTTAACATTCAATGATAGAGAATTGAAAATAGTAGGACCTTGATAATTAACAAAACGTTAACCGAACACGTACGTGTCGTACGTGTCCCCAGCCCCTCCCCCACAACTAAAATTGTTATTCATTATTTAATTTGTTCAAATTTGAACTTAAAATATCTACTAAAACAAGAACTGTGTTTATATATTTTTTAGATTATTTACTAACAGTACCTATATGGAACTTTGTACTACTTGTGAGAAACCTAGTATTCAATTTTTATTCCTTAGCTTAAATCAAACATTTTACAATTTTTTTGCAACAAGATGTTAAAATGATCTGCAAAAATTCATGATGTCAATCAATTTTGTCAAAATTGATTTCAATGATTTATTATTGAATTTAAATTTTAAACATTCATTACAGAGACTTGCTCGATGACGAGGTACACTATCAACACCTACAACTGTTCATACAGCAGAGCGGTTACCTACGTTCCCCCTTTTTTATATACTTAATATAGTTATTCTAATCAAATAAAACACCTAATCCTATTTTAAGTCATTGGATTTTATTTATTTAAAACTACAGATAATTAATTATAACACGTATAATTAGCATGTTAATATATTTAAAATAATATGTATGAATCAAATATAATTGTGTAATTCATTATTATATGATAATTAAAACATTGTTGTAAGAGGCTGCGCCATGGCAGGGTTAAAAAAAATCGGTGACAAATATTCCTATCTATGTTTCATAATTGAATTACATTTCATACTTATATATCATATATGTGTGTCGAATCTATAAACATGTGTTCGACGGAGAAACCATTGTGAAATGTATAAGTAGTAGAATCACGTAAGTCGGTTGGAGAAGTGATCAATTGCAATTTGCAAAAGTAAAACACATGATTTGGTTCGTTAGTTATTAGAGGAGTTATCGGAGGTATCTCATCGTTCTTCGCGCACTATCCTGGTCCTTAGATTTATCTATTTCCAATTTAATTCTTTTAACTTTATGGTTTATCACACACGATCCGTTGCAACCAAATGAACACTCAACTAACGCTGGCATAGGTACATTTTAATTATATTGTCGATACTATTTCATAAAGTATAAATTATTATTCATTGTTTGTGGATATTTTACAATAAGTCAAATGAATTTACTTATGAAAAGGTGGGGGCATTAACTAGTGACTACTTGCTTAAAAAGTACATTTTTTTCTTACACTTTTTTAACTTAATGATTTAGTTAATACTCTTATTTACTTGATTACTTATCACTTATCAGTTACATTTTTAACATATTTTTCCAGTTAATCTGAAAAGTAATACGTTAAGTTAAAATCAGGTTTATACTTATCTGTTATCTATATTAGATAATTTTAATTATAATAATAATTTAATAATTCAATTTCAGTTTTTTATTTTGATTTTTGCTAATTTTACTATGAATTTTTCTATTCAAACTTAAAATGTTTCTTATTTTACCATGGAGTTAATTTCTCGCTTTTAATTTTAACGTTTATATTTATTAATTTTTTTAATTAAATTAATATTCTGGAGCAGATATTTCCTAAGAACTTGTTTGTATAAAATATAAACATTAAATATTGTACTGTTGAACTAAATCATATTTTATAAGCATTTAAAGTTTGTATACCTATAATGATTAGGAATATAGACGAGATGTACAGCGTAATTTTCGCGCATCCCTCCTGTCATCGAAACTTTAAATGTTTATGGAGATATAGCTATTAGCTTTATATTTGGTATTCATCAAATTTCTCAGTAAATTATCTGGGTGAATGTTAAAATAAAAATGAGATTTTCATTTAATAATAAAAATAATATAGTAATAATAATAATAATATATGAAAAAATTCAAATCAAATTTACTGTATACATTTTTGCGGATATAGGTTAGGAACTATAAAATCATCCTGTATACCATGTTTTTTCGAATTTATTTATAGTTTTATGGCCGTATAATTTTAATTATAACTCTTAGTCATGTTCACATGTTACTGACGGAATGAGGGGGGGGGGGTGGTACTAAGTCGCAGAGTGTACACTTTCATAGTTATATTATTATCATATTGATATAGGATATTAACTTTTTTTAATATAGGTACCTAATACAATTTATAGAAACTTGTTTCATCGTACATCATTAATTTATTTAACTTCGTCAAATCGTTTAAAATTAAAGACACAAAAACTTTAATCGGTATTTGTTACGATAAAACGTTACAGATTATTTCCTAAGTGGACCAACAAAGTTTTCTTATCAGTCTGGCTTCAAGGTATTTGTACTATAAGGATGGTAAATCGATTGTAAACTTTCCTAGTTGCCACATGCCATACCTAGAACCATTTAACAATCATTACTTATACAAACATGAGCTTCATTGATTTTAGATAATTTTGATTAATGTTGTTATTAATAGCAGTTATTGTACTTATTTGTATGATACCTATTAATTATTTTATAGTAAGAGTTTTATAAAATTAATTTGACTCAATATTTTTTTTCATATAAATTATAAACTTTATAAACTTTTTGATAAAATTCATTAATAATTTAAAAATATTCTATGATCTAAATTTATAATGATGTTGTGTAAATTGTATTAAAACTTATTTATTGATTAAAATATTTTTTTTAATGATATCAATTAATTATATTTTAAATTTAATTCTGTATTAAATAATATGAATATAAATGGATTTATAGAGTTAAGGTTATTAACTTTTTAATAAATTTAAAATATCATAGGCCAAAAGAATATTTTCAATACATGGATATTATCCAATAATATCCGAGGAGCTCAAAAAAAGAGGTTGGGTAGAAAAAAAAAATCCAGATTTCAAAACACTGAATTATGAATATTTATACACTACATTGACATTAACAAGTAATCAGTATATAAATCATTAGCACTGTTATTTTTCTAAAAATATACGTAATTTATAATATAATAGTATATAATGTAATATAATATACTAGAATATTTTTATTTATTTAGTTAATTAGATTAAATATCTTTTAAATAAAATACCTAGACACAAATTTCATTTCATTTTTTAATTAATTGAACTACAAGTTGATAAGATGCATAATCCATAAAATATAGTTTTAATATTTTAAAAATTAATGTATTGCTAAAAATATCAAATGAAGTAAATAGTTCTCAAGACCAAATCAAAAATAAGTTGACCCCGTTCAAGATTGTTCTTACTCCTTAGACATTATTATTATTTTTTAACTTCTGTTAAAATATCAATAGTTTTTCAATTAAAAAGACAACAAACTTTTAACTCACTCAACAGATATTTATATAAAACAAAATAAACACGTTATTAAAATATAATCATAATATGAAACTATCCAAACAAAGCGGAAATGTCGGACACCGGAATCACTGTCTTGATATTTCAATTTGGTAAATAGCACGACTTTTATGTTGGCTTTAATTATAAATATGATATATCAAAAAAAACGCCGAAATAGTTATGCCTAGTCTATAAATTGAGTGTGTTTTGTAAAAGTAAAAATGGTTAATTAATAATTATGCGTTTATGTTCTTAGACAGTCGTTCAATGTGTAACGTCAAGTCACCACCTTCGTTAACTTCAAGAACAGTGAAATCTTTAATTATTGAAAATAAAGAAAACACATATTTGTGGTTTGCAATCAAAGACGTTAGCCCTAATTATATATTTACCACAAACCGATATGATATTAATTGGAATACAATTAACGATACGACAGTGTTGAGCCAACTGAATAATTTAAGTTTTTGCACCAAAGTACTTTTGTGAATTATTACTGCAATGATATAAGCAGTTTATTAATACGTCATAATTTAATAGATCGGATTGGCTGGAACCGTAAACACGATATCAAAAAAAGTCAATGTAAAATTTCCAAGGACCTACAACATTTCAGACACGAGGATAATGGAGTTTTTTATAAAAGATTATCGACTAACGGCTTTGTTGGGTTCCTTAAAGAATATCCTTGGTTCAAAAAAATCACAAAAAACAATGTTCAGTGAAAACGGAACAGTAAGTAAAAATAAATGTAACATCATTTTTCAAAGAAGATAATTATTATTTATTTTTAATTTTACGTGATGTAGGTATCTACATATAAGGGTTATATAGCTTTAGTTATTGAAGCCTAATGAAAAACTAAAAAATTAATTTTTAAAAAACTTCGGCATAATATTTATTTCCCAAGTACCTGTGTGTGTTATTTTTTATGACGTGTTTCATCAGTCTGACTCTAAAACGATTTTTAATGATTACCAATGACGACGACTTTTCAGTGTTTAAGAACCTACATATTTGATATTTAAGATTATAACAGCATTCGTTTTGAGTTTCGATTAATAAATCATTTTATTTGATTGAAAAAATATAAGAATAAAATATGTACGAAGTCAATCAGACAAAATACTAAATGCACCAAAGACTTTATGTTATTACAACGATATATTATGTTCATATTTTTTAATATATTTAATATATATTGATAATATATAATAAGATGACTGGACAAGAAAAAAACTAAAACATGAATAAATAAAAACAAAAACAATAATATAACAAAGTAATAAAAAAATAACAAGAGAAAAAAATTTAATTATAAGTTGTGGGGAGATAACGCTTTATAACTAAAAATGTTTTTCTCCGTGACTCATCAAAGAGTTATTTATTACTCAGTAGTGAATGTAATCGGTAGTCAACTGGAAATCAACTAAATGTAAACTTATAGATGATTAACACTAAATAGGATATTCAATTCTCTCACAACAGACGAAATCGATACATTATTCAGATATATAATTTGGTGCATAACCGTAGTATTCAGTGCAGCAGAAATATAAAATCAAAGTAAAACAGATCAATTAAGATCAATGCGAGTCAAAACATCGTAGCAGTGTATAAATAATATGTATGGATTAAAACAAAAATAATATTTTTATTAAATACATTTTAATAATATTATTGCAATATAATTTAAATATAGACTAAAAAGTGTCACCATTAGGAGGCTGATTTGTTCATATCACGTATTAAATCATATCGCATTATAACTGCACATAGTAATATGCTTAATGTAAATATTAAATTTATAGATTTTATATTATATTACAAAATAAATTAAAAGAATTAACCATTTTAATCTACAAATTTAAATCACATAATTGTATTACTTATGTTTACATTTGTTTATAAATAAAGCAACCAATCGGTCCTATTTTTAAGTTACATGAATTTATATTTATTTATATTTTATATTTTGCGAGGGGGGGGAGGGTTGTTAAGTGTTAAGTTAATGTTCTATTAAGATTCTATAGTTATTATTAACCAGACAACTTTAATCATAACATTAATTCATACGTTCTAACGAACTAAGACTGTATTAAATATAAATTAAACTTGAATACTTTCAACACCAGTAATTATAGTATGCGAGATAGGTATATTTATCAAATTGCATAACAATACATTTAAATGATTTCCAGTATTTGAATTAAAACAAATTCTTTATTTCATTTATTTATTTATTTAAAATGTTTCCATAACGACGTGAATTTCTCTAGCACTTTATTATTTTAAATGAGGGTTTTTTTTAATCCTTTTTTTGTTATTTTTAAATTATAATATTTTTCAGAAAATTATTTTAAAAGTCCTTTAAATGACCCTGCATTTATTAACAATCGGTTATGTAACAACATAAATGTCCATTGGACAAAATATTCCTTAAAGTTAAAATATTATTATATAATTAAACATGAATATCATTAAGTTATACACAAAGCTACATTTAAGTACAAAATATACTATTTTCTCGGTTTAATGTTGCAACACGTTTGCTTTCATGTTTCATTCGATTTAACATAGTCGTATAAAATAAACAAAAACTTGTAAAATAAATTAAAATGTATACAAAAATTAGGCAATTTATCCACGAAAAGTACACTCCATAAACACATACACACAAATAGCTTAAAACACTCCAAACATTTTTTGTAGTAAAGAAAAATTCATTATTAAAAGAAAAAATTGGGGTGATCAATGATTATGCTTGGTTGATCATCAGGAGTATGTAATATATCAACCGGCAAAAAACAATAACAATAATATTATATTTCACCGCCAATGGCTAAAGTAAATTATGAAATATAACAAACATTCTACTAGATTCCATACGAAATGATCGACTTCATCGAACAGCGTTGTTGGGAATTCGTGCACGCTTATCAAACCAAAGAAGAAAGTGATATGCTATGGTTTACAACAATATTAGAAGATTGCTGGAACAAATTTATGGTTTGGTATTATGAAATTATAGAAGAACTCGCTACCATTCGTGTTTGTAACTCGTTTCAAATTAGTGTAAGTTCCCTTCGGCAATTTTTCTCTAGTTGTTACTAATGCATAACTAAATGTTATTGTTGCATTTAAGGATATTTATGAGCGGTTCGACGGTTTGGAACGTAAAATTAAAACATTTTGTCCACAATTTTTCATCGATGGTGATACAAATCTATGGATTGTAAAACCGTCTAATCGTTGTTCCGGTATGGGAATAACATTGGAGAGACGTTTAAACAATATTTTGAAAACTATTAAAAGCCCCAACAAATTTAATAAAACGTTCATAATACAGAAATATATAGGTAATGAATTTGAAAGAAAGAAAAAAAAACTTAAGCCAATAATGTACAGTATTATTTATTTATAATTTATCGAAAGGTACTTGGATTTCGATAATGGATCGGTTTAAAACAATTGGCGTTTAATTATAAATGTGCATCGTTTGTGTTTTCTTACTACCATTTTAAACTGGTATGTGTTTAAAATTTGTAAAAAAAAGCACACAATTGTAAAACTGATTGAATGTGCACCACTCAGAATTTTTTTTAATTTAAAAATACATACAATCTATACACATACATTTAGTATAATAATTATATAATATGATTGATCAATTAAGATTTAAGACTTTTGTATAGACGGGTGAAAAATTCTGGCCAATGATGGTTCTCCAGAAGTTATTAGTATTTACTAGTTTACTTATGTAATTATTATTAATTATTATTCTACTAATCAAAATTATTAATTTTGTGTTTTAGAAAGACCATTGCAGATATTTAATGTCAAAGTAGATCTGAGACAATACTTTTTAGTTACAAACACTTATCCCATAAAAATATGGATGTACAAGTAAAATATATTTATATATAATTAATATTTATCTATTTATTATCTTTCAGAAAAATTAAATTATTTTTAGTAAATTGTATTTACTCCATAGGCGTAAGTAGAGAATTAAATTAAAACTGAAAAAGTGAAAAAGATAAAAAAATTATAATTATTTTTTAATATCAAACCCGTAGGTCTTTTCCATCACATTTCCCTAACATTATTTCGATATCAAATTACTAAAATTAACTACAACATGCAAACACCGTTTTTATAACAATAATAGCCCCATAATAAGTAATTTTATCATAATATTGTCAAATTTATTCTAGCTGATTAAAATGTAAATTATGTGTATATTATTTTCAACATTGGGGTATACATTTACATCTGTGTATACTGTATAGTGAGAGGTTTATTCTCAAAGTACCACCCTATTAGCCTTTATTGTCGGCTAAGTGCCTTCAAGAAACTAATATACGTTATATTGGCTTATATAAAATACATAATAAGTTGATCGTTTTAATCTATATATTATAATACAATTTAAACAATTTACCAGCTAGGTAGCTAGTTAAGTAATTTAAAATGGCATATTAAATAATATTATAGTAAAAAATTCAATAATCAATGCAAAGTTGTATAGTTAATTCTCGGTTGTGGTACCTAGTTAGTAGGTAGTTGTAGAGCAATCGTAGACCGAAGTTATAATTATGAAATAGTTCGTAACATTGCAATTAGTTTATATAATTGAAAATGTTGTCTAGGGAAGGATATGTACGATTTTGTTCCAAGAAATTTACAGTTCAAGACTTGCGTGAAGAAGTTCATCTTAGCAATGTAAGAGTTCAATCCACCAATAGAAAATATAGAGTACCAGGTGTACCCGAGGAATGTATGTGGGACTTTACACAGTTTAAACAATACCTGAAATCAATTAATAAAGGCGACAAGTGGCATACATCAATATATCCTACAATCTGCGAAACAATATCCACTATCCTCATCAAATCTTTTAAACAGGACATCAGGAAGACGTTTGCTTTTCAGTTGTTCGGAGCAGATTTCGTACTAACCGAACATTTTGAACCATGGTTAATAGAAATTAATAGTAATCCTGGCTTGAATCCAACTACGAGTATCATTGCAAGAATTGCCACGACATTGTTAAAAGATATTATCAAAGGTTTGTTAATTATTGTAAATAATATTACTATCGTAACCAGCTATTTTACCCTAAAGAATAGGTTAATAAATATTATTATTCATACTTCAGAGAATACCTTAAAAGTAAGTGTTTATAATTACCTTCTATTAATAAAATATCATATTAAACACTATGTTTAGAAAAACAATGATATCAATAGTTCAAAAATAATTGTACCCCATCAATTTTTACAGAACTATTGCTTAATAGAAAATGTTTCTTAGCGAATATGGATATATAATTTGTAAATTATATAGTTCAAAAGCTAAATGCTTAATGTTCATTAAAAAAAAATAAAACACTTATTAATTTAACTCTTTTATAATGCTCATTTTAAGATTTCTGTTTTAATTGTACTTTTAGTTACAGTAGATTTCCCACTTAATTCAAATGCAGAAACTGGACTTTTCGAGAACATTTACTCTGACACACTTGTAAAACATTGTAACACGGAGAAAAACATCACAAAAGAATATTATTACTACCAGTCGCCTAAGAACACAAAACAATTAAATAAACAAAGCCACAAAGGTATTGAACAGAATAAAAAGAAAATTGTGAGATGAATAATATGTAGGTATGCTTTTAGTTTTTCTTTTTGGTTTTACAAAATCAAATGCATAAAACTAGGATAGTAAAAAAAATTCAACACAATAACCTTATATTTATGTACCTCGCGGTTCGCTAGTCGTTTTATGTATTAATATATTATAATATATATACATATATAATGCTATATATTTTAGGTAAGACTTTAAGAGCGTTTATTCAATTACTTTTTATTATTTCGTAGGGACTTAAAAATATTAGTGTACCAAGGTGAGTTAAAATACAAGATTATAATTGATCATAAAAAATTATTGCTGTTACCCGAGAGATTTTTTGGAGTCTTTAAAAAATTGTACTTTCTAATAATGACCTTTGAATAATATACTGAATTTAAATAAATTGATAATCTTTCGCCCGAAGATACATAATATGTAATATATATATTATAATATAAGATAGTTTCACATGATTTCTTTGATATTGATGAAAAAATAACTTTTGATAAAATAATAAAATTGTAATGTATGTGTATTCACCTACAATATAAAACTACCTACCTATACTTTAACTAGAAACACTCCACTGTGAGGAATTATGAGTAAAATATATTTGATCAAGTTTCACAACGTTTAAAATTTAAATACGTTTAAACCTTTTATTTTATGTATGTATTTACTTACGATTGTAATAATTAAAAAGGAAAAAAGACTTGATCTTTATCGGTATAGCCATATAGGTAACATTAATGTTATTATTATTATCAGCAGGTATCCAATTTATTTCGAAAATTTATTTGAAATTTGTTATCTGGGTATATTTAGATATACATATTAACAATGATGTATCTACACACAATACTATTAAACGAATGAATTATAATAAAATACAATTCGAACTACATATAACAATAGAATAATCTACCCATAAGTATATTATGTATAAGCAGATTAATGTGTTCATGGATACAAATTAAGCTTTTGACAAAAAGTTTATTTAGAACTGTTGATAGGAGGTGAATTGGTGGACCAATATTTTTTGACTAAATAATTTGAAGCTATATTGAATCGGAATAAAAAAAGTGTACCAAAAATAGATGAATACGAATTTGTTAGTGCAATCCTTGGTTGCTTACGATTTTTGCTTGAATTGAATTTTTTTGAAATCATATGTTAAACTGTAAAATCAACTCTACTTACGACTATCGATTGATATCTGATAGTAATGTCTTTCGAATTTAACACCATAAGCAACAACCCCTGAGATAATTTAGATCCATCACATCATTCTTATTTACTACTGTGATCCACCTAACTAAATAAAATACGGTCATAATTACCTACACGTTGGGTGAAAAAGTATTATTTTAGATATTTGTAAAAATAGATGGTTTTTAACGTTGATACGTAATGGATTTCATAAACGCTGAATAATCACAACAACAAAAACAATTGAATACATTTCGGCTAGTGATAGTGTACATTATTATTTTGTATACTCTAAAATTTAAGTACTTGTGGGATTTAATTTGTTTTTATGCAGAACAATATTTTAATTACATAATGTTCAATGGTTATCTGTTGGAACATTAAGCATTATAATTATTGGAAGCGACGAAAACGGTTTTGTCTTATACATTTTTCAGACAACGGATTGTTTTAATTTCTTCCGTAATGGCTATTAAATTATAAAAAGCAGCCACTGGAAAACAAACCCCACGCTCTTCAAGAATTATTCTTGTTTCATAATCTTATTCCTTATTCTATTTTACATTGGCTTGCTGTATAAAGTCATAAAACAAAGTAGGTAATTAATTTAAAAGCACAGTTATGTTTTTATTTACTAGTTATTACCTTCATTCTTCTGATACGATATTATTTGTATTAATAACGAAATCAATTGTTAAATTTGTTTCAAACCGCCTCTATATTAGTTTTTGTTATTTTTTTTCCAAATATAAAATACTTATAATTATATATTTTAATATGAACTGTACTTGATTACTTTTTTTTCTGGTTGGAACGGGATTCATCGTGGTATTTCACTGTACACTAATGTATTGCGATTTGAATTACACTAACAATTTTAATATTGGAACATTTGTATTGTGTAATATAAATATACCATAATATAGTGAATACAAAAATACGAAAGAATATTAAATTAAAAATTGAATTTGTTTTTGGCATCAAATTATAATGGTAAGGCCAATCACGACAAAGTTAATGTTCACATCATGAGTCATAACTAAAAGTTTGAATTTTCGAGAGTAAGATATAATTTGAAACCTTTCTAGTTCCCTCAAATTATAAACTAGGTATCTCAACAGTTTATGTTTTAGCATAAATATTATGTTTTTAGACTACAGGATACAACTTTTTTTCGTAATAGTGTAATAGATTTATTGTCATAACGTTTTAACGGTAAAATGCTGTAATTTCCACTTACAATACTTTGGTGACCACTAGCAATATTGATGAATATCAAAATAATGTTACCATAGCAACCAAAAACAAAAAAGTGGACCCACAATAATGAATGGGTATAACTTTTTTTTCGTAATCAGATTTTTCGTGAGGTTGTCTCAAGCAACAGATATGATTACGTTACCATAACAACCTATGTTCCTAGGTTTTTTTAAAATTATAATTTAAAAATATATCTATGATTCAAAATTATTCCACGCAAAAGAATAAAATAACAAGCAATAGGTACTACGAACAACGGTATGTTTCCTTCTGATTTTTTTTTGTTAAACATTCAACAAAGCGTCTTTGTCATTGATTTGAGTATCAGCACAGGTTCTGCTAGGGGAGAGGGGGTGCCAGGGTATACACTTGCACTGTCCAGGTTTTAATACATATATATATATAGGTACTAACAAAATGAATGGTAGTAAAAATATTTTATTTTACATAATTATCAACGAACTATTTATATTTAAAAACTATTTATTAATCGTAATGTCATATAATTTGAAAAATATTCCTATCTTTTTAAAAATCAAAGTATACTAAGCATCCCCCGACAAATATCCTGGCGGAGACTCCTGTAAGTATAACTAGTATTGTTGACCACGAACAACGCGTTCTATTATATAATTAAGAAATATTATACACAGGGTGATATACCAAGTAGCCTGCTACTAACCAACCTGGCTACCTAACCCACATTTTCAATTTAATAATGAAGTTATGCAAATTCTCATTTTTGGAATTTTTAAGTACAATTAAGGACCATATTTTCAAATGTTTCATGCTTTTTGTGCTACTTGTGGCGATACAAATGTCTGTTTTTCAAACGATACACCTACGCACAAATATTTTGATGTAGTGATTGCTGAAATACTATTTTACGGCTGTCGGCTATGATTTGAATTTTGTTAAATGCTAAAATATTTTTCAATAAAATAGTAAAAACAATTTTAATTAAACATTTTTGCATGACTATCAACTATTCGTGTATTATAACAACAATGTATAGTCGTACGGTAGTGTACGTTGATTTCGTCTTAAAGAAATTAATAAGTCAGGTTCCAACATTTAATTGAACTTTAAAAGTGTTTGTAGTACCTACCATATATCCCAAGAGAATGGGAATGTAAGTCTTAAAAATTAGCTATCAAAGTACCAAACCCCACACAACCTACGTCTGAGTTTTATTTGTGGTGTTGGATATTTGTAATCTTATATTATTAAATTAAGAAGTTTTAGAAAAAAAAAACCTATCCCTTTACAAAAAATAAAGGTTTAGACGATTTCTATTATTTATTAAACACGACGCGACGCCCTCAAACAGAAGTACACATTGTAACAGAATAACACGAACGTCCAAAATACTATATCATAGTATAGCTGTTATGCGGTCGAATATAGCGATGTGATCACTCCGATGACGGTTACTTCAAAATAATGTGACAGAGTAAAGTAATTTTATTTAAAACATGTACAGCTTCGAGTTCCATAAAAGGATTTATTATTCTCCTTCTATTTTTTATGTCTTATACCGGCAGCTTGATATTACCCAAGTTTTTAGATTTTAAGATTTCGTAAAAATGTTGAACGCAAAAACTTTTTGTTACAACTCACGAACAACATTACGAAATAAAGACATGTTCGCCGATAAATCATGGGCAATCAGGTGCACATGTATAATATGTTTATATGATTGCGTTTAACACGAAAGCTGTAAACAAAAATCATTAATAGGAAAACTTATACATGACTTTACTACTCTTATTATTCGTAGTGAAACTAAACAACGTTTATACTTATCAACACTTATGAGTTACCTGTTCGCTTTGTAGTCACCGTGCAATCGTTTATGTATGGTCCTTGAAAACGAATTATAAGTTGAAATTTAATCAAAACGCATCGCAATATATATTTTCAACTAGATAGTCAATCATGCTTGTACAGCTATTTGGAAACACTGCGCTGGCCATTTGTATCACACTTTTGAACAGGACATCAACCAAGTAGACTACGTATTATTTTTATTTTATACCGTCTCGAGTATAAAATGTAAAATAAAACAGTTTATCAAGTCCGTAGACAACACGATATATTGTATACGCATTGTATATTATGGGTACCTACGTGTTGGAAACCATAGGAGAAAATATAATTTGATCGTGGGCACCTTTAAAATATAGAATTAATACATTATATTCGTGTTTTAACATTTTACTAATTAATTGAATGAACGTGTAAGTAGTACACCATAAATATAATAGGTAGTTCAGGTTTAATCTATGTCAAACGATGGTTACGTATTCGCTCAGAAACCACTTGCGGCTTATGCGCCCAGTAGAGGTTTTGATTATCTGCATAAAGGCATCGAGTCATATAATATACATCATACTATCTGTTTAATTTTTTTTTTTTTTATAAAATTTATCACGTAAAAAGCATCGGCGTAGCGGGTTCACTGTCGTTTTAAAAACACATGCGTCGGATATTCGTAATATACATAATAGTATAATACGCATTTATTGTTTTGAGTTTGGAAGCCTTAACACTGTGAATCTAA